GTCTTGGGCAGGTGTTTGCCCAAGACCCAGATATCCAACTCAGTACCGCAGAAGAAGCATTTGACACCTGCTTGCTTAACTCTGGTGACTATTAACTGGGTTAGCTCCTCAGACATCAGATGTTGTATTATATATATGTATTAATTGGTCGCTATTACTATGTTGGAGGTTGCAAAAGGGTCATCACGGGTCGGACCTTGGATTCCAAAACAAATATTTGAAGAATCCACCCACAACACCCGTTGAACCCTGCAGAACCCAAGCTAACCTTAGCAGCAATCAAGTGTGGGAGTGATCGAGTGATTTAGTGAGTGAATTACAATCCAAATAAAATGGGTTCCCTTGATTGGACATCATAATGAAGAGTATACATTTGTGTCAACTTGTATGATAGTATTAGCCAGTTTCAAGAGGTCATTTTACATTGAACAGTCGATTGAAAGTGGAATCGGTTAGTATCAATGATGATAAATATATGTTTATATTACAAAAGAATTAATAATGGTGCTCCGACCTTGTCGGGTAGTAGTAATCATACTCGGGAATTGACTTCCAATGTCTCGTTGTAACACATCGATGTGAAATAGGGAAATATTATATTTAATTTAGTTTAATTAATAAATCGATACTAGTATCAATGATGATATATTGTATATATATTACAACAGAATGGAAAACGATGTTCATCTTATGACATGGACATTATTGAGAATGGAGTCACCTTGGTCAGGGTGACAGGTACACCTTGTGTGAGTGCCTTGAGTTGACCTTCCACAAACAGTCCAAGTGTGATATCTTGGTTGCTCTGTGATTTAAGTTCGATCACAATACTTGATTCATTCCAGAATACATCCAACTTGCAACCCAGATAGTTGAGTGCCGCCAACTTGATGCTCTCTGTATCTGGTGGCAATTGTGGGTTAAAGTCCAGTTGCTGAGGTCTGATCCTAAGACCACTGAATCCAAACGCCACCGCCTGGAGGAATCCACCTGCGCCAGTGATGAAGTTGACGGTTCCGCCCTCGGGGGTCTCCGTCCACACTCCAAATGGAGCCTGCGAGTTGGAGTAGGAGGACGACCAGCTCTTGGTTGCAGCCGCCATGTCGCCCACCTCCAGCCAGCCAATCGTAAACATTGAGTATGTCATTGCTGGGCCGTACTGAGTAGTCCTCTCCTGGTAGTAGGCCAGGTCACTGGCACGCGTCTGCAGTGACATGTTGTACATCAGCGGGAAGCCAAGCAGGATGACATCGGCCTGCTTGACAGTGTCGCCGTCGTAGTACTCATACTCGGGATGGATGTCCAACGTCTCGTTGTACAGCATGACCAAGTTCTGTGCGATTGTGCGCCATTGATCTGTTGGCGCGGTTGTGTCGTTGACAATTGTCGCGGCTTCAATCGCCCACTCCAAGGCCATCTGCGCCACTGCGTTGGTGTAGACCGAGTTGTTGACAAAGCCATTCACGTACTCGTCGGGAGGGATGACAATATCAATCTCGTACGAAGGCTGTGAGGGAGTGGCGCCAATGGCCAAAGATGCCCTGCTGGCCCAGAACTCGGCCACACCTTTGATCGCCTGGTAGCCGCCACCCTCCTGCAGCCACTGCTTGTCGTTGGTCATGCGATAGTACTGTTGCCAGGCGAATGAGATGTCTCCCGTGATATGATGCTCGAGCATGCCCTCGGGGTAGTCCTCGGGACATCCCTCGGCACCAGTGAACGCAGACTCCCATGGGAACATGTATCCAGTCCAGCCCTGATTGAAGCCCAAAGCCTTCTGATGTGCCTGCTCCAGATTGTTCAGACGATACTGTATGATTGAATCCCTGGCGATTGTAGGTTGCAACAGGAGTATGGTTGGATACATCCAGGTCTCGGCATCCCAGAAAACATGTCCATTGTAGCCGTTTGACGACAGACCACCAGGAGATATGCTCCATGGCCAGTCTTGGCGAACGGATGACAGAGTGTAATACAAAGACGCGTTGACTGTGCGCGCCAAGTCGATGTTGCCACCAATCTCAATGCGCGACTCCCATATTCCCGACCAAGCATTGATGTGGGTGTTCAGCAGCGAGTCAGTGGCAGAGTATGCCTGTTTGTAGATTGCGGCGCATTCAGACATGTAGTCCGACGTCTCCAAGTTTGTCACGAACGATGTCACGAAGTAGAACGTGGTCGCTGCACCTGCAGCCACTGTTACCATCTCGGGCACTGTGCTGGTTGTGATGCCCACGGCTGTGATGAAGCCATTGGGCAACTCTGGCATGAGGATTGTAGCATTGTACTGTGTGATCAATGAGTTTGACTCGATCTTTTGAATGTTGAGGTCGTTTGTCTCCATGTAGTTTAGGTAGTTTAGCTCAAGGTTGAAGACTGTGTCGCTGCCAGTGTTGTCGACGATGATGTGTTGCACGAGTACATTGCGCATGGTCTGATGGGCGTAGAACATCTGTGTGGCCGTGGTGGTTGGGCTGTTGGGGAAGGTGTAGACGCGACTATAAGTAGCATTGTCAATGTCCAATCCTGCATATTGAAGAGTGGCACCACTGCCAAGACTGATGTTTTGGAAGTTGGGCAGTTGAGCACGATGGCTTGGTGAGGCGAACGATACTGCAGGGCCATTATAGACACCGGCGATGTAGATTGCCGGACCACCAATGACAAATGACACGTAACCATTGCCAACACTTGGCATCAAGTATTGTACAGGCTCTGATGCAGCAGACAACAGTCGACCTTGGGCCACTCTCTCATTCCACCATTCAGGTTGAGCATTGGTAGTCTGTTGTAAAGTGTGTGTGTATGTGTAAGTGTTAGTGTGTTGATCACCTGATTTGATCAACTGATGATCACTTACCAATATGATTAACAGTAATATAACAAGGGAGCACTTTATAATCATTGTTATATTACTACTTATATGATTCAATGCATGAATGATGATGATGTTTAATTGATTGTTTGATGGATTGAATGGTGGTCAAGGACATATCCCAACAAGTCCCTAAACATGGATTCCCGTTAGATGATCACCATCAGTTTTGATCAAAAAGCCCCACAAAATTGCACATTGATTATTGGGCATTAGCTTCCAAAACTTGCTGTCATTTGATAATCATCTTTTATTCATTCGTTTTTTGTCCACTTGGATAAGGGGTGGACCTAGTATTGCTCGGACATCATCAGAAGTACGAGAGAAGTCCATCCAGTGAATGGATGATTCCTCTCGCCAGTGCCTTCCAGACCATGGTACTGCTCCCACAGGAATCCAGTCTCTTTGTACTGCTGGAAGATGTTGTCGATGATGTTATGGCGCAGTGTGTAATAGGTCATGGCAAAGTCGTGCATCAAAGGACCGCTCTTCATGTACTTCTGGTGGAACTTGCTGACAAACAAATAGTTGATGTTGATCCAGATGGGACCGCGCCAGTAGTTCTCATTCGTTCCATAGTGTGGGTCGCGCAATGACATTGATCGCAGACCGTATCTGCTCCAGATGCCCCTGATGTCCTTCACCGTGTTGAGGTAGCCCCGCAGACGAGGTGAGTCCACAGGCTCCAGACCGAGCACCAGAGGGAAGTAGTTCACGTAGCCCTCAGTTCGTACAAAGGTCTTGTTGTTGTTGTTGCCATCATAGACGACGTCCTGGTACATGCTTGTGACATCGTCCCAGTGTAGGTCGCGCAGGGTGTTTGTGATTTCCTTGTACGATTGCATGTAGACACTGTCGTCCTTGCCGATGAACTTGGAGATGGTGCCCATTGCCTCTGAGGCGAATGCCATCCATGCCGAGAGATCGACGTGCACCTCGTGTAATGAGGGTGGGTTGGCGCGTGGGTAGTCGTCCAGACCAGAGGCCAGTGTGTGGTTGACCTTACGTCCGCGCCAGCGGAATGTGTTGCCAATGTGGTTGGCGGTCTGTGTGCGCCAGTAGAAGCTGTAGAAGCGGGCCATCCTTGGGTAGGCCTCCTCGATAAACTGAACGATGGTCTGGTACTCCCTCTTGTGCTCATTGCTGGCCTTGTACTTCTCGGCCAGGTCAATGAGCTTCAGGACGGTCATCAGCAAGGTGGGTGGGTTGGCAATGCTGGGCGACTGCACCTGGAACTCGTGTGGCACCATGGACAACGCTTCGTTGCCCAGGATCTGCTCGCGCGGGATCCATCCATCCTCATTGACCAGGTTGAACCAGTGCGACAGAGACTCGATGGTCAGGTCGACGTCCCAGCTCGAGATAACCAGCTGATGGAATCCCTCGTCCCAGAGGAAGCCACGTGGGAAAGCTGGACGAGATGGCGACGCTGAGAACAGCGTTGACATGGGCAGCTTGTAGTGTGCTCTTGGGTTGCTTGGGTCTGTGGCCAATGTGTTACCATGCCAGTAGCCAATGCCGCCGAGTAGGCTGCTGAGCACGACGCGTCCAAACTCTCTGTACTGAGGGTTGACACCCTTGGCCAAAGGGAAGTGTTGGACGAATCGCTTCTCAAAGTCCTCCCTATACTTCTCCAACAAACCATCAAACTTCTCGCCAGTGATATGTTTGGCGGCCTGTTTGACCTGATGCTCCGACAACAATGATTGGTCGCTTTGTGAATGAGTTGAATGAGAGATGAATGATATCTCAATCTGGAAAGGGATGAATGAGGTGAGTGATTGAGTCGAGTCATTGACAAGGTGTGCGGATACATACATCGAATGGTGCCTGTAGCACGCGCTGAACGATCATTGTGTTGGTGTGATCGTTAGCGATGTTGGGAAGAGTTGGGATGAAGACTGGCTGGGGACGTCCTTGTTTGGAGATCTCATTCCACTCACCATAGTAGCTGGTGATGTGTTGCTTGGTGGTATCATCAAAGATTGAGTTGATGACGTTCCACTTGTCCTTGTCAAACCTTGCCTTGCCATAGAAGTGCCACTTGTCAACGCTTGGTTGCGACTTGGCATACTTGAATCCATGTGGATGAGTTGAAGATGACACTATGAGGAAGGAGAGAGTGTCAGTCAACGAATGAATGAGCTCGCCAGAAGTTGGACTTACCATCATTGAATTGTAATGTGTAGCGGCCAGTGTCTGGGTTGTTGCCATTCACTTGGAGATCGCCAGTCAATCCCTTTTTGGAGTCCTCAGGGAGATTGGCAATTTGTAGCCAAGAGTCTGAGCTGGATGTGACGCTCTCATCCAAGACGTAGTACATCATGGAGAAGAGTGGCACTGGCAGCGAAGCGTTGAGCTGGCGTCCTGACAGACGCACGGTCCAGTCACCGCCCGTCTTGGACGTGTGGTGGTTGCTCTTGACGAATGTGGTCGTCAGCAGCAGGTTGCCTGGACGGTCGACGATCTCCTGCTCGCCAAAGTTCTTGCCGTCGTGGCGACGCCAGTGGTAGCCGACGACGCCATCGCTGCTCTGCTCGCACTTGTGGACGAATCTTGAGAACATATTGTCAATGTTTGGCGTTGACCAGATCAGTCCAGTGTTAATTGGCTTTGTACTACGTGTCTTCATCGCAGAGTATAGATGTGGTCTGTAGCTGCCCCACATCAATGTATTATTCAAATGATTCCTACCAACTTCAATCCTTGGTAGATCATCACTATCAACTGCATCCAAGTGCACCTGGCGATGACCTATAATTCATTTGAATGATTGATTGAGTTGTTTGATTAGTCAGCTGATCACATCCTTGATCTGCATCGTAATAATCATCATTGTCATAATATCATACCTGTAGTGTCAATAGCATGGCAACTCAATATGCTGGCAATAGACAAGATGATCACAAACAATGAGAGTGATCTGTCCATCCTGTCTAAAACTATCTCTATAATATATGTATATATGATTAATCGATATACCTGTAATCCCCAATGTACAATGAATAGTTATAAATATATAAAGAGTAAAGTTGTAATTGAATGAGTCAGTGAGTGAAGTGACTCTATCTACATTAATTGATATGCGCACGCGAGTGAAGTTGATGTTGGAAGATGCATGACTCATGTCAACACCCCACACACACAATTAACACCACTTCAGCACCACCAGCCAGCAATGTCAATCGAATGGTCATCGATGAAGCACACCACATTCATTCATTCGTCCATTCATTCATTCATTCATGGATTGAGTAGTAGTTCAAGTTATATGACAATACCTTATTATTACAACCAGAGGCTAGCTTTGTAGTATGTGATTGATATACTTATACTGAAGCACTGTAATGATTAATTGAATGAAATGAATGATTGAATGATTTTATGTGTTTATATTTATCTGTACTTGTTTAGATTTATGAGATTATCTGTTTATCTATATCTTATGTCTATCTGTAAACTAATGTGATGAATGATCTGTTCCGAGTTGATAGTGATTTGAATGGGTTGTCTTTGCACACACCATCAAGAATGATAGAGTGACTCTCAATCAAGGTCATGACCAGGATTGGCTTGTTCGACGGGTCGCACATGTCATGATGAGCAGCATCCTGGCTCAATCATTCACGTACACATTCCCCCACCACACACATAAGCCGCTTATGGTCATTCCATAAGAGAAGCCAGGTGAAAGTGTGTGATTGAATTGGATTGGATTGGATTGATGGTCACATTTCATGACATGTGGAACGTTGTTTCGGAAAATCAACCACACTATTAACTTTCTCGAGTGTTCGAAGCCTGGCCCCTTCTGGATTCTGCGTGTCAAATTCATAAGACAAAGGTACCTTAGACTCGACTCCATCCTGTTCTACACATTCTGTCTCCTCCTCTCTTGTCATCACCATCGTCAACACTCTTCCTGCTGTCTTGTCGAACTACAATGAATGAATGTTCTGTGTCGAATCGATTGAGAGTGCTGTAAACAGTTGAGGTTGGTTAACATGTCATTTTCTACTGCTTCCAAACATATATACATATAAATAACTATATACATATATACAATCTAGTACATGTACATGTTAAAAGACACACGATAGGGCACAACTATCGTCATTAAGTGCGACAAATAACACAATGTCCACAAATGGAAGTTTTGGTCAATGAAGCCCAGGCCAAAGACTTGACTTTGTGTGTGAGTGAGCGAGAGGCAGTGGCATGTGTGTGTGGGAGGGCGAAAAGTGGGCCTGTCTCTAGATTGTTGACCAATGGAGATAGAACAATCGGTTCATTGACCATATTAATACTTATCTGGATTGAAATAGAATGAACTAGCGACGATGACACTTGGGCGAGTGAATGAATGAATGAGTGTATTCTAAGTTGCCCTTTGGAAGGACCAACTTAATGTTCTATTTAAAACAATGGTAATATATGAAAAGAGGATAAATGGATGAATGGGTGGATGCAGTATTGAAGAATGAAACAAGACTATATATCTAACAATCTCCAAATCAAATAACATCCAACAAATACTATATGTATATATAATGAATGTATAGTTTCAAAACAACATCATCCACCAAGTAATCGATTACTTATGAACAATTAATTCCCAATTCCCTTTGATCACAAAGTGGTGTACACACCAGCAACATAACTTGCCACCATCACGATTTCTTTTGCYTTTTGGTCCCTGATTACAGAGACACACATACACACACAAAAGATAGAAATTAGTACCTTTGAAGATATTATCCAATTTGTTTCGATCAAATCAGTTGGAGCACTGATCACACACAAACCCTACCAAAAAAGTGTTGTGATCCTTTTATTTATTTTTATTATTAATAATCAGAACTCAAACACTCGATCACACACGAGCACACGCTGTTTCCAGACGCGACGTCGCTTTCAAGCACCAGCAACAAATCGTGTGGACTCAGGAGCACCTGTCAACCATCCAATCTACCTGCCTAACCCAACCAACCCGCCATCCTTGGCATTCTTGTTATAACAACATTCATACTACACATATTCATTCAATCATTCATACATACACATAAGTAACAGGTATCGTTGTTGACTACTCATTTACGCACAAGTGATTAGCCTTCAGCAGCATCAACAAACAGCTCATTAAAAAAGCTGTCACACTAGCCCTCGCCCTCGCCTTCGTCCACTCACCCCACGCACGCGCCCCAACTCAACTTAACTTCCACATCCCTCACCTATCTACCCTCATCCCACCAATCAATCAAACAATGACAGTGGACGCCAATGGTATCTCTGAGCTTGAGCTCGAGCGTTACTACAATCCAGACAACTCTATCTTCTCATCAAGCAGAAAGGTCGTTGCAGAGCTTAATGCCATACTTTTCTTGGTTCTCGCAACCAACCTGTTCTTCTTGGTTAGATACTTATATCAACATTTCATCCTTAAGGTATGTGATTGAGTGTTGCCCTTGAGGCCATGTGGGCAGACTCTAACAATCAGTCCCTCTCCCATACCTCCCTTACTCCATTACTCTAGCCAATAGCCATTTCATACAAGGTTCGCCCATCATACATGGCCAGATTCCTTGAGAATGGATGGTACTCACTTTACTACATCTCTGCCTTTGTTTATGGATGCTATCTCTACTCTCAAGAGAACTGGACATTGTTCCCAACCATCAACCTTTGGCTCGGCTGGCCAATCCAACCATTCAAGTATGTTGACACCCCTTCACCCCATCCCATCGCATCCCATTCCGCCAACCACCCCATCACATACATCTTGGGGCTGGCCGCGGAAGGGGTGATCGCTCGTCAAACTCAAGCGATCGATCAATGATTGATGACCACTCACACCTTTCCACTACAATCAATCCAACCATATATAGTACTCTCTACAGAACATATTACCTGTTAGAGTTGGCATTCTACTTGCACTGCACTATTGCCATCTTCATGGAGACCAAGAGAAAGGACTTCTACCAGATGCTGACACATCACTTTGCCACCTTCTTCTTGGTTGGCGCCTCCTATTGGTATCGTTATCACCGCATTGGTCTGGTCATTCTCTGGCTGCACAACGCTGGCGACATCTTCCTCTACACAGCCAAGGCCATCAACTATTTGCAAAAGGAGAGCAAGAACTACGTCATGTACGTCACTTCTGAGTTGCTCTTTGTCCTTTTCGTCATCGTGTTCTTCATGATGCGTCTGGTCTTCCTCCCATCCGTCCTTGTTAGAACCTCACTGTAAGTACCCACCGTCACATCGCCGCGAACAACATTGATCACTCACTGACTAACTTTCCCTTCCCTTCGCAATCATATAACCTAGGTTCGAGGCATTCTACGTGTCCACAACTTATCCACAGTTCTACTCGACCAATGTGTGTCTGATCGTTCTTCTCTTCTTGCATATGTTCTGGTTCTACTTGATCCTGCGCATCATCTATCGCAAGATGATCAATGGCAGCGTTGAGGACATTAGAAGTGACAGCGAGGAGGATGAGCCCACTGAGAAGTCCGCCAAGAACAACCACTTGGAAGCCGAGCAGACTTCCAAGCACCAGGGCGTCAGATCCAAGTCCAAGCAACAAGTTCAATCAAAGAAGAACAACTAAACTATGTCCAGTGTCTGTTCTGTCCTATCAATCAATCAATCAATCAATCAATCAATCATTCAGCAGCGACAGACAAACAAGTGTGACGCCACACACAACACCCCCTTTGGTTGACTTGGCTACGCAAGTGAAGTGCGCAAAGTTGGACAATGACATGGGCATGTACTAATAAACAAAAGGCCCCAACCTCCTCACTTCAACATCAACAGATGGATGACATTGACACCATCACCAACAATGATGGGGAGACCTTCCAAGTGTTTGGGTCCATGTCTAAGCAGACTTAAGACCTTCTTTCAATCAGCTACTGACTGAGATTCTAATGGCCCTGTGCCCCAGCACAGTCCCCGTGTCCATCCATCGTGCCCCTTGTGTGGGAGCGTCAATCACATCACACATAGTCTCACCTTAAAACACTCGTGTCCATGTGGGTGATGGGATCACCAAGCGTGACCCCACACTGGGGCCTGATATTTATCAGTCAAATGTTCGGGAGAGACCCGAGTGTCCAGATATTTTGAACCTTGAATGTTCCCTTGCCCTCTCTTACCAGATATGTGCCAAAGATGGTACTTGCTCTGGATATTTATCATTTGCAGCACCAACGATTTACTCTATGTAAGATGCGTCGCGACACAACAAACCCCATCATCCTATGCAGACAATCTATCGCCCTTCCTCCTTAACGATGTGTCCAGGACCTTGCACCATCTATGTGTGAGTTCCAGATGGACCTCTTTAGTTGACCACCCTCATGACTAGTCATTGATTGATCACTTCACCTCACAACTCATTCATTCATTCATTCATTCAATCAAACAACTTCCATTCACTGTACATATTATATATTACTAATTATTTATACGAATGGACAGACAATCATTGTCCATGTTGTTAATACTTTGTTTGGCCGCGTTGTCCTTAACAACTGTTACCCAGGCCCAAACCCTGGTCACAACCTTACCATTCAAAGGACATAATTATTCATTTTATAGTGCCAGTGTATCACCAATAGATGCACTCAACTTTTGTGATCAATCAAATATTAATAATCAACGTGGATATTTGGTGACCATAACTACAAAGGAGGAGAACGACTTTGTGTTGGCTACACGTCTGGCACTGATGCCCTCCGACAAGATCTGGCTCTCTGGCGATTGCATCAAAGAGGATGGTATCTACATCTACAACAGTGGTCCAGAGAATGGAACACTTATATTCAATACATATTCTGGGGAGGTATGATCAACGATGAGCAAATGGAATAGTTCCAGCCCTAACCCCACCCACCCTCACACAAACAGAGTCCATCATTCTCAGACTTCAACTATTATGAACCATCGATGTTCTCATTCTTGGATGAATGGTATATTGCTTATGATAATGTTGAGTTCACATGGAACAACATGCAGTTGAAGGATAGATTGTCTTTTGTTTGCGAGTATGGTGGCCTTGAGGACCCCTACATCAAGCCAGTTCGAACAATTGGTGATGCCAATGCTCTGATTACCAACATTAGAAATCTATCAACAGTGACCGATGTCTCCAAACTCAAAGTAACATTCACCAGCTCTGATAGTCGCCAATCTTTCTCCGCCACCAACATCAGAAAGACATCAAGCACCTCCATCACAGTCAACATCCCACCAGGCACTGGTGTCTTCAACTTGACCATCACGACCAATGGTCAACAACCACAATATACTTGGAGCACAATATTTAGATACGAGGCTCCTCATATTGCATTGGTATACCTTGATTCAGTGGCACAAGGTACATTGGTATCAATAACAGGAAAGAACTTTGGTTCCAACTCCAACATGGTCTCAAACATCGCATTGGGCAATAACTTGGCAACATGTTCAGGTGTCCAAGTAATCGAGGATGGCTTCCTTACTTGCACACTTTCCAGCACAATCGACACTTTCATCTATCCCATCAACATTACAGTAGACTCAATATTCTATACGGCCACCAAGCCCGCCATAAGTGAGTTATCAATCAATCAATCGATCAGACTTCCGTCACATACTAACCACCAGTCAATCAATAGATAACAACAACCGATACCTTTCAACATTCTGGGGAAATAGTAATGTCACTGGATCAAGCATATATAGTCATGCTCTGGTGGCAGAGGGACTGAGCGGATACTTGAGCTATGTTGAACAGTCCACACAGTCAATGTATAAGCTATTGGCGAGGTATTATGCACAGTTGGAGTGGCCAAGATTCTGGACATCATTGGCATACGACACTACACAAGGATTCTACATAACTACAGATGGACCAAATGCCAACAAACAAGTGACCAACTACTACCCTGCCCCACCAACCCAAGCACCAGCCTACATCTACGACTTTGTCGCCATGACCTACAACGTCTCCCTAGCTTCCAATCCATGGGGCACTGTATCTGAGTTCTTCATTGACAGTAAGTACAAACTCCAACATGGCCAATGTTAGAGACTAACAGATTCAATTACTGAATGAATAGGTCCACAGTTTGAGTTGGACACATACTCGGTCCCGACCAAGGGAGCTACTATATGGATGTTGGTATCAAAGGGCGGTACATATTTTAGCCAGTACAGCTTCCAATTCCAGGGTAGGACTACACCATTCGCAAGACTCGATTATTACCCACCAAGAAAGGATATGACATTCGATGCTGGCTACGGTGGTCCCTTCCCAATAATAGTGACAACCAACTTGAAGAACAAGAACTTGACAACTACCAAGTACTTCTCATACTCACCACCATCAATTATACACATGTCTAATCTTGGGCCCAATGGAGGAGTGATCACAGTCACTGGAGACAACTTCTACACCAATGCATCATTGATATCAATCAAGGTTGGCAATGATACTTGTGTTGGAGTGAAGTTTGTTCTACCACATCAAGAGTTCACATGTACTATACCTACTCCATCCGGCAGCTTGTTGGGTGGCCGCAATGTCGATGTGTCATTGAATGGTACCAAAGCCAGAGCCCCAACCATCTTCCAATATTCAAGTATGACTGTAGATGATGTATCATCAGGTGTTACCAATCAGACAACCTCACTCACTATCAAGGGCAAATCATTCGCGATGAATGGTGTCTCGATCTCAATCGCTGGTGAGCCATGCTATAATGTAACTGTTTTATCTTCAACAACAATGATATGCAAGTTTAATGGAACTACTCCACAAAATGGAACTGATAGCATGGTCGTCACCGTCAACATGGCAGGCTTCTCTACCAACAATACATTGTTCTACTATTCTAATGACACAAGTTGTCCAAAGGTAGACGACAAGCTATGTGCAGGTAATGGACGATGTAGTCAGGGCACATGTTACTGTTATGATGGATGGACTCGTGCAAACTGCACCGAGCCCACCAACCCGAATGATCAGACACCAGGAATGAGGAATGGTACAGCTAGCAATCCAGCTGGCATCGAATTCATATCCTCCATCAGATATTTACGCGAACTGAATCAAACTGGACAAGTTGTGCGCACACTGGACATGAACAACATTCGCTGGATCACTGACAATGTCACGGGCATCGTCAATGGCACCTTCTCCAACGACACAGTCAGCATGTCCTTGGTCGTGCTCCAAGTCAATCAATCAATTGATCGTTATCAATTCGCTGGACAGGTGATGGCACTGACTGCCAACTCACTAAAGCTGATCATCTCCATTGCCGACTGGTCGTTCAAATCAAACTTGAACTCACTCCAAGTGATCATCCAGAGCAAGACCAACAGCACAACCAGATCAGCTTGTGGCACTGAGCATCAGACAAGTGGCGAGGTGGATACTAACTCCTACCACATAGTCTCGGGCAACTCAATACTTCAAGTCAAGTTTGCCAGTCATCTTTATGTCGACGGTCGTGTGGCAGTATCAGAGTTTACACAGTTAGATGCAGCCGACCCGATAGTTCTAACATCAGCCTCCAACGACACCTTCTCTTTATGGACTGCCATTAATGTGCCACATTTCAAGGTGTGTGCCATCGACCCAAGCATGGCAGCACTACTTGGCAATGACAAGGAGACATGTTCAACGCCCTCCAACTGGAAGACCATCGTCATTGCAGTCCTGGCCAGCGTTGTAGGTCTGGCTATACTCATTGGCGCAGCAGTTCTCATCAAGAAGAAGTTAACGTGGAATCGTCAAGAACAAAGGATAATGAAGAGACAGATGAGTTCATTGAAAGACAGCAGGCTGTAGTAAGAACGAAAAAATCACATGTTTATAATATATACATTTAAAATGAACGACAAAGTAGTACCTTAATCGGTGCTGACCTTGAGCTGTGGCAAGGCAAAGTAGCCAGTGGAGGATGAGCCATCGGCCGAGGTCATCTCGAAGCAGAAGCCGATGGTCTTGGTGAGGGCGAGGTCCACGATGGCGTAGGCCTTGTAGGAGAAGTCATCGTTGGAGCTGCTGAATTCCAGCTCGAACTTGGACTGGTTGGCCTTCTTGGCGTTCCAGGCGAACTTGTTGAGAGTGTCGCTGTTGATGGTGTAGGTGGTGCTGGTGAAGCTGGCCATGACGTTGAAGCTCTCGACGCCATAGTCGGTGGTCTTGGTCACCTGGACAAAGGCACGAGACTCGCCAATAAAGTTGTCGACGGTCTGGAAGTAGACCAATGGCTTTGACTCGCCCAAGTACTTTGCGCGTGTCTTCATTGTTGGCAACACTGGTGTTGGGGTCCTGTTGATGTAGGCGACTGGGAGGGTGGTAGTGCGTTGAGTGTCGTCGTGTACCAAGACCTCCATGTCGAGCTTGTTTGGCAGGCAGTCGGAAGTGCGACGCTGGCGCTCAGTCAGCTTCTTGGGGATGTGGATGGTGATGCAAATGGCGAACTTGATAGTCTCGCGAGCCTCCAAAGTGATGTTGACAGACTCCCAACGACACATGTAGTTGTAGAAGCCCTTCTTGACGGCCGAGTAAGCCTCGACAGCCACCCATTGGCCTTCCTTGTTCTTGTAGCGACCGGACAGCTTGGTGAGTGTCTGGCGGGTGTCGGTGGTGTTGACAGCCTGCAGGTCGACGTAGAAGTGATTGTTGGTCTTGCCATTGCTGAACCAGTCGTGGTCGGTGTATGGCTTGTCGATCTGCTCGAAGCGGATGCCGCCAGTCGAGGTGACATTGAAGTACTCCTCAGGCTTGGTGCCATTGCCGCCGTGAGTCTCGTAGTGATCAAACTCGTCGTAGTCTGGGTAGACCTTGCCAGTGGACACAAGTGCTGGCAATGTTACATTGGGCACGATTGTGTTGTCGTAGGCCTGCTGGACGTTTGTGAATGCGCCCTTGATGATCTTCTTGCCCTGGCATGTGATGTCGAGACGGGCAATCTCTGGACGTGGTGCGGACCATGTCTTGACCTCGACCTCCACGGCGATGACAGTGCCACCAACCACGACGAATGATGCCTTGACATAAGACTTGGTCTCATCATTCTGATAGTGGCTAACAAGGTGCTTTCCATCAGTAGAGTACTGTGACAAGTCAGTTGCATCAAACAACTCCAGTCTCAACAAGTTTGAATTGCTCAATATCGAGATGAACAAGTTGTTCTTGATATTGGTACCAATGTTGACCTTGAGTGCAACCTCTGACTCATGGTTATGTACCTTGATAGTTTCAAAGATGGTCTTGCACAGCCTATATATATATACATTACTTAGTTAGTTATTCATTCAACTCATCTCCAACACTAACTCCGACTCCGACTCCGGTAACATACTTGTATTGTTCGGTCTTCCATGACTCAAAGTCAACGGCAATGAGTACTTCACTATCTTGGATGGCATCGGCAATTGTGAGATGGGGCGAGATAAAGTATCCATCGGAGGTTCTCAACTCTGATATGATGAGATCATCATCATTGGGGTTGTAAGGTGCGAAGCGTACAGCAATGTCCTTGAACAGACGTGACACCTTATCAGTTGTGGGACCAACTGGTATAACCAACTTGTTTTCCTTCCAATTAACCTTTATCCTCATTATTAATAGTACTATTATTTGTAGTTGTTGTTTGATTGATTGATTGAATAAATGAATACAATACTACTACTTAAGTCCAATTTATTAACCCTTTGGACTCAGTTGCCAACTAACAAGATACGTCCATCTATTCATTTCAAGTTGGTAACAAAGTATCTGTGTTTGTGACTTGTGGTGGTTGTGTAGTTAATCTAAAGATTGTTGGGGTTTCTGTAAATTTTCAATGTTTTGTCTGGTTTTTCGTCTTTTGATCAAGAATTAAAGTGGACTATAACGTCACTTTTAGAATGGAGCAGATCCGTGTTATGTTATAACAATGTAAATAATATTATTTGTACACACAAATTTTCCTTTTACAGTAATAGAATGACCAGATTCATTATTGTTGGTAGATAATATACCTCGTAAATTTCCAAGGATCCAAAAATATCAATCGGTCAATCATACTTGACGACATAAGATTATCTATCTTCCACATTCTTCCTAAGCTTAAGACCTTTACCATGTTAGTATTAGTTCATTCATTCATTCATTCATAAAATATTAAGAGATAATGGTTCATTGTTATTAGTTACTACGTCATACATCCATCTTTGTTGATCCGGATCATAAATAAATACTTTGAAGTGAGGGATAATGACCGATGTCAAACGATGTGGGGGTGGTGGATGTGAGGTGTTCATCGTCTAGCTATCCCTGGGATCAAACAATCAAAAAACACCCAAAGTGGGTCACACAACACCAACCTCAAACACAAACAATAAACATTATTATCTCTCTCTCTTTCATTCACTATCATCAACAGATACTACATATTATATTACATTACATTATACATATCATAACTACACTTGTATAACTATATAGGTGTTGAGCTCAACAATCACTCATTCACTCATTCACTCATTCACTCAAACAAACAAACAAACAACTCGATCGATCACAAACACTCAAATAAATAAACAATGTCATATAGAAATAGAACAGCAACATATAATAGTTTGAGAGATCAACATAAGAATAGTAGACCAAGTGCTGCATTTAGAAAGGACGATGGATCAGCAGAGCCATTGAACAAGAGAGATGGAACCTCAGGTGATATCCCTCTCACAAGATTGAACGTTGCACCAGAATGGATCAAGATACATGACATAGACACCAAACTAAGTCTATTAAATGATAAGAGTAAGTACTTACCTCATACTCATGCTCAAGTTAGTGATCACTAACATGTTGTTGTTGCCGCACACTTTAGTTCAGAAGCTTGGCAAGTTACACGCTACAATGACAGAGATCATGTTTGATAATGATCGCGAGATTGAGATTGAGACAGAGATTGAAGTCATGACTAAAGATATTGCAACCGTATGTTTGATTGAATGATTGATCGCAAGGGATGGAATGTTCCCCGACACGTCCACTCACTCATTTACTCAATCAATCAATCAATCAATCAAACAGGACATTAGCAAGACACATAATATGATCAAGATATTGGGAGAGAAGAAGAATATGAGTGGAGAGGAGGTTAAGCTTAGGAAGAATATACAGTCGGCAAAGTCGAAGCAGTTGCATGATGTGTCGATGGAGTTTAGGAAGAAGCAGAGAGCATTCTTGAATGCACTGCAGAAGAATTCAAAGTTGGATGCATGGGGCGACACGTCACAGGATGAACCGGACGAGGAGGAGGACTACAAGGGGTTCGGATTCACCGAGCAGCAGCTGGAGGTCGTCGGCATCATGGAGAGCGAGGTGGAGCAGCGCAACGCCGAGATCAAGCAGATCCTGCGCTCAATCAACGATCTGTCGGCAATCATACAGGACATCAGCATGCTGGTCATCAAGCAGGGCACACTGCTCGACCAGATCGAATACAACCTGGACCAGACAGAGGCAAACATTGTCGAAGCCGATGCCATTTCAAAGGATGCCAACAAACTACACAAAGGTTACAGGAACAGACTATGTATACTATTAGTCCTTATAGTCTTGATCGTTGCCATGGTATTCTTTGCTATTATCAAGGCATTTATTTAAAGTATATTATAGTATAGTAAAGGTAATAATAAACAGGACATACTTTGTACAACCATGAGCTTGGACATACCCTCGCAGACATACCCTCGCATTGACTTTGAGGGTTGGGGGTTGGAAGATTGGCGCGCACTTTGGGATCGCCCGCGCATTATTGAACTTGGACATCCCCGACAACAGATACACATACATACATATACGTATGCCTTTGATCAAGTACAATGAGCAACAACAATAACATTGTTGATGATATAGCGACTGATCAAGACGACCATGGTCGCCTCGACAGCAACAGCAACAGCAACAACATGAACAATAGCTTGGCTCAATCTTCAACTACATCGTCATCATATAGCAACAACAACAACAACAGCAGTCGAACAACGACAACAACGATCAATGATAATGTAAAGGTGTGTGTACGCACTAGACATCTGATTGGCAACAATGAGTTGGCAAAGACAAGATGCCTCACAGCACTACAATCACAGAATACTATAATGTTGGACGCCAAGCCTGATGCCAAGTTGTTCTCATTCGATTATGTGGCCGACGAGAACACCACTCAGGAACAACTGTTTGATGCCGTGGCTCGTCCTATTGTGGACTCTTGCATCGATGGATACCACGGCTGCATCTTTGCCTATGGCCAGACGGGCAGTGGCAAGTCCTACACGATCATGGGCGAGCCACACGACCGTGGACTCATTCCACGCACGTTCCAACATATCTTTGAGCGACTGGATGGCAACCAGGACCCCAACACCACCTACCGCTGCACACTCTCATTCCTCGAGATCTACAACGAGCAGATCATGGATCTGTTTGTAGAGACGTCGCCAAACCTATCGATACGCGAGGATCTAAAACGAGGCATATACGTCGAGGGTCTGACCGAGATTGAAGTCACTCACACACTCGCCGCCATGGACTTGCTCGAGATTGGTGTGGCCAATCGCCATGTTGCCGAGACCGCCATGAACTCAAACAGTTCACGATCACACAGTGTCCTCACCATCAACATCGAGTCAACAACTGTATGTATAGGATGCCAGGCTGGCTTCATTGGCTTTGTGTTGCCACTCTCTCACTCACTCGCATTCATTCACTCACTCAGATCAATCCAGATGATGGCCTGACAAAGATCAAGAATGCAAGACTTAGTTTGATTGATTTGGCTGGATCTGAGCGCCAGAAGAGTACAGAGGCGGCAGGAACACGTTTGAAGGAGGCTGGCAGCATCAACAAGTCATTGTCATGTCTTGGAAATGTTATTCGATCATTGGTGGACGTGGCCAATGGCAAGCCCAGACACGTTCAGTACAGAGACTCCAAGCTCACTTTCCTGCTCAAGGACTCATTGGGTGGCAACAGCAAGACATACATCATAGCGACAGTTTCACCCAGCGAGCTATATTACAGCGAGTCATTGTCCACACTTCAGTTTGCACAACGCGCCAAGAGTGTGCGCAACATGGCCATCATCAATGAGGAGGCCAGCGGCAACATCACACTGCTTCAGATGGAGATCCGCAAGCTGAAGGACGAGCTGTATCGTTGCCACACCAGCGGCCAGTTTGGCACACTGCCTCCGATCTCTGCGGACGCGCAGTGGATGAGCCAACTGGTGCCGGCCGACCCTCGGACGCAGCCATACGAAGCGCGCATCCACGAGCTCGAGGTGTTACTGTCGCGCTCTCTCGAGCGTGAGGAGGCGCTCAGCGAGCAGCAGCGCAAGACTGAGCACGCTCGTCGGCAACAGAAGCTGCTTTGCGAGAAGAAAGATCATTTCCTGCAGTCGACCAGGTTTGTTCTAAAGCTGCGCGAGAGTCACATTGCAAGACTGGAGGGACGCACTGGTGTTCTCTACTCATCCCTGGAGGAGGAGCAACACGAGGAGATACAGGAGCTCAGGAAGCAGGTTCGACTGCATCCAGAGATCACGCGCTATGCCATCGAGAACCTGGAACTGCGCGATATACTCAACAGCTACGAGATGTCATTCCGCGAGGGAAAGGACAGCTACGAAGATCAGATCATCTCGCTCAAACAACAGAACAGGGAGTTGGTCAGCGAGGCCAAGCAACTGTTGAACGACAAGTTGGCCAGGTCCCTGGAGACCGCCGCGTCGGCGGGACAGCGAACGGATGAGTATCAATCGCCGTACAAGTCCAAGGACACCCCGTCCACGCCTGCACAGGTGGAGCGACGTCGATACAACAATGAGCGAGCAGGACAGCAGCAGTGGGAGCAGGAGAAGAAGGAAATGGACGCACAGTACCAGGAGCTACATGCCCGCTTCCTCCAGACACAGGCAGACCTCGAGTCTACCATGACGAGAATGAGTGATGAGAATGCCAGACTGCAACAGGTTCGCGCAGATCACGCCAGAGAGATCGAGGCCATCAGGCGATCAAACGACAACATGGTGGAGATGATGAAGAAGGCGCATGCCCTGAAGCTCGAGCAGTATACGACAATGAAGGTCAAAGAGGACCTGCTTTTGCGAGATTTGACTGAAGGATTGATCAAGTTGGAACAGGAGAACAACGAGCTCAAGGAGGCCAAGGTCAAACTGCTGTCTGAGCTCTGCGAAAAGAATGAGGAGATCAACAATGTGCGTCTGTCGCTCGATTCTGCTCAACTCTCATCACAGAGGATGACCGAGGTGTTCATTGGCACCCCACTTCGAAGCGAAGAGCGATACAGTGCTGGCCAGGATGATCCAGAGGACAGCGAACCAATCAAGTTCAATGTCCATGTTGAACAACATGAACTGGAGGTTGCAAACAGAGACAAGATGAATAATCTGGAAAGCAAGATACACGGCATGGAGTTGGAGATTCAGAGTCTAAGGAAGCAACTTGAAGACAATGATCAATTATTGGAAGCATATGATAGAGAGAACAATGCTTTGCAAGAGGCCAATGAGATGATGTCCAATCAAATCGAGGCGGCAGCAAGTATCCAAGTCACATCATCACAGTCATCACCCAGTGCAAGCGATGAACATGATACATTTGACAAGAAGGTCAAGCCACTCCTGGCAATGAAGGATGATGAGATCAATCGTCTACAGTCAGAGCTCATTGCAAAGGATACACATTCCAAACAACTGGTATGTTCAATCCCAATCTGATCCATCATCAACCATCATCATCTAACCTCAATCAATCAATGGAAATAGGGCGACACGATCAAGAACCAGATGACAACATTGACAGACATGGATGCATGTTACAAGGAACAAATTATGGAGTTGTCTTCACAGGTGGAGATCAATGTGAAGCAGTTGAATGAGAAGGAGGAACAGTTGATAAATGCTGAGCGACACTTTGACACAACACTCCTGGAGGCAAAGGGTCGAATGAACGATGAGTTTGAGAGAAAGTACGCAAAACTGTCCCAATCACTAAAGGAAGAGTACAACAGGAATATCAAGGCATTGAATGGTGAGATACTGGCACTCCAAGCACGTCTGATATCCCCTCAATCACCAGAGCATCAGCAACTCCAGGACAAGTACCGTGAGCTTCAAAAGGAATACGACGTTGTGGTAAGCCATCCCATGCCATGCCATGTCTAGATATGGAATCACACTGACCAGTGTACATTACACATTAGGTTGATTCAATTGATGATTATCAAGAGAGGATTGCTGCACAGATAATGGAGATCACAAAGTTAAACAACAAACTCAAGAGGTTTAATGGACCGGAATACGTTGATGAGTCAGAGATCATTATCATATCCAGCGACGACGAGGATTATGTACCGCCACCTCCTCCACCCGAGCCAGAGTTGGACATTAGCAAGATTGTTATAAAGAAGAACCCAAATGAACCCGAGGAAGAGGAGGATGAGATTAACCTTGACAATCTCAACCTCACAGATATATCGACAACATCAGCAACAACTTCAACAACACAAAACAATATGTCAATGTCTGAGTTGAACTCGGATGTAACAGGAGCACGATCAAACAAGGCCATAAGCAACAATCTTTCAATCATCTCTCAGATTGCAGAGTTGGAGCGATCCTTCCACTCGACAAAGATACACAACAACTCGAATTCCAGTGTCGATGGTAATGATTCAATTCAATAACAATGCATGTGGAATAATCTGTTCAAAATGTACCAAAGTTGATAAAAAATTTTTTTTTTTTTGGGATTGCCTATTTTTTTCCAGCTCTACGTTAATTTTGTTATTTTTTGGGTTTGCACAAAAAAAAAGTTTGGAAAAGAAAAAGTTTGGAAAAGAAAAAGTTTGGAAAAGAATAAAAACTTTGGACTAGAAGGGTATCGATCCCTTTACCTCTCGCATGCTAAGCGAGCGCTCTACCATCTGAGCTACAAGCCCTTGATGTCAGAAAAACAAATTTCAACACATTTATTCGTTTATAATTTTTAGTTCGAAATACCACCAGCCGACGACACAAAGGCCAGTGGACTCAACCAGAACAGTGTCCGAACAACCAAAACATTGTGTAGTTCCCCCCGGGATAAATAAACAGAACATCGCGTCTCTCTTCCAGGGCGGACGAGAGGCGGCTTTAAACAAAAATTTCTAGGTAGGAATTTTGGCCTCATTAATAATACCAAACAAATACTCCCAAACCAATACTACTCCTACCAGGTATGACGGGAGTCGGCTTTAAACAAAACTCTAGCTCGTCATTCTGCCAACAGCGATGAATAATTATGAATCATCCATATACCAGTATATCCCAACAATTGTTGTTTTACAATTATATATCTTGAATAAATGCTAGTTTTCATTTATGGTTAATTAATCGGGAGGTTGCACCATCATACTCCTTCTTCATCAAACATTCCAATGATTGATACGACTCAACGAAATGCTGAAGTGTCTTCCAGAGATGATCCAACCTTGGCATGCACCACAATCCATCATACTCCTTCTTCATCAAACATTCCTTGATGTAATCAACATGACTCATCTCATGTCCACCGTGATTGGACACACAAACAGTGCATATCGACATCTTGCAAGTCCAACAAATGAACTTCTCCTTCTTCTTATGCTTCTGACATATCATTGATCTATCATCATCATTATTATTATTATAAGTGTTATTGTCCGAAACCATCATCATCCAAGTGCATATTTAATTACTATCTGTTGTTAATTTTAAATTAATCTCAATTAATGAATGGTAATAAATGACAATTACAGGACAATGGGACTTTCTAAGAAAAGTTAATTTCTGGAAACCAAATCAAGACTTGGAACTTGTGTGTCTAGTTTCGGATCAAACAGAATGGAATTGAGTGTCTCTTCATCTTATCATTGTCTTTGATCAATGTCCACTTGTTATCTTGAATCGAATAAAGATGATTGTTGTTCTTTCCAGCAATGCTGATAATGACACCACCACCAAGTGTTGGATTATAAATTAGATGGCTAAATGATTCTGGTTCTGGACACTGTTCAAGGACAGTCACATGCTTCCTTGACAATGAGACTCGTTGGAATGAATTACTAGTCTTGATGAAGATGTTGTCAATGCCATCGAAACATGAGCTTTGAAATGATCCACGATTGTCTCTCTCCAGCAGGACCTCATTGGCGTGTGTTAACAAGTCGAGCGTGATAATTCTGTGCCAAATGAAATAGCCATTGTTACATACTTTGGTATCGACCATGTAGAGCTTGTTATTGAGGTGGTGTACGGTACCATGGTTATTGGTAAGTGGTGTTTGTAGGTCGCTTACATGCTCGAATTCATTAGTGTTGATGTTGAAGCGATCCACGCGCTTCAATCTCTCTACCTGGTTTCCACCGACGAGATAGATGTATTTGTTACCATCAAAGCATGTAGATATATAGGTGCCGCCACTGACTCCAACAATATCAGCTTCGTCGAAACGATTGTTGGCTAGTGATAGACGAGAATATCTTTTTTGTGAGGTGTGACCTCCAAACTGGTAGATGTGTCCACCAGCGTATATGGTGGACGTAGTGGATTGGTCCATTCTCCTCGGTAATACATTATTGTGTGATGTCCATTTGAATGTGTCAAGTGAGAGCACAGAGTATCCATGGTCTATCATATTGATGATGTGATTTTTGAACCGGTGTTGAGCCGCTGGTTGTTGAACTTGTTCAATCAGAACAAGACATGATCTGATCTTATTCTTGACGTCATTCAACTTGATCATATCACCCTCCATTGATTGTCTTTGGAGTTGAGTGAGATCGTATTGCACATCATTCATCAGTTGATTGTGATTCTTGATCATCGTCATCAGTTCATTGTCACTGAGTGCATTGATACTGTCTGATTGTTGTGATTGGGTTGATGACAATGTGTTTATGAACTGATTGATCGTTGAACATGATTTGATCGATCCAATCACTTCAGATAGATCCTGGTCCTCATTAACAAAATTGTTGTTGTTTCTATAAACTGGATATGACATGTTGAGGATGTAACTGACTTGGTTGATCTCATTGATGATATTGTTGATTGTTGATTGAATGTGTGACATTTGAGCATTGATTGGTGTCTTGGTCTTGTGTTCCTGTGCCATCAACAGTTTGAACAGTTGTTCAAAGTGATCACTGACCTCCTTCTGTGTCTGTTCCAATGATTGATATGATTGGACACATTGTTGAAGTGTCTTCCAAAGATGATCCAACCTTGGCATGCACCACAATCCATCATATTCCTTCTTCATCAAACACTCCTTGATGTGATCAACATGACTCATATCATGTCCACTGTGATTGGACACACAAACAGTGCACATTGATTGTTTGCACGTCCAACAAATGACCTTCTCCTTCTTCTTATTCTTCTGACACATCATTGATCTCTCTTCATCATTTCCAGTATGGTTATCTGACACCATCATCATCATCCAAGTTTATGTTTATTTATCTCTATCAATCTCAACTATGAACATTGATCTACACGTGCATGTGATGATCCACTTTAGAAGAAAAGTTCATTTATGAATCGTGTGGCTAATCACGTATTAAACAGAATGGAAGTTCAAATGGAAGTTCAACTTCAGTAGATCTCATGATCCTTAAAATTGAAAAAAGGTTTTGCGCAATCCGAGAATCGAACTCGGGTCTCCTGCTTGGAAGGCAAGAATTCTGCCACTAGACCAATTGCGCGTGCGAAACCCAAAATTTCCCAAATATACTTTTATAGCTTTAATAATTCCGCATTTTTTTTAAAAAGATTAAATTTCCAGATAGGATAGATTGAGATTTAAACAGGTACCACAACAAACAATGTTGATCTTATCCAATGACATAAGCGCACATCTCATCTGCCAACGGAAATGGTCAGATAGAACTTATCTGGTTGCCAACTAGTCATTTTACCCTAGACACAAAACCAAGAGGTAAACATTAATCTCCAGGAATCTTTGTTCAGTTCGTCTGTTCATTTGAAACCTAAACATTGGTGTCACCTTCCAAACAACATAATATATATCCAAATCATTAATATTAATCATTAATTTAATTGGATACTAATCACAAAAACAGATAACTGTTAATTAATTATAATTAATGATGATGGAGATATCACCTGGATAGTTTGTGAAGGGCCGTATCTTTTTAGTTCGTTGATTGGTGGCCCCATCGAACCCCATCTGTTTCAAACACACAACACACTAACAGATAAACAACACACACACACATACACACACACACACACACACATATGGTAGTGATCATGATCACCAATCACCCCACTTTATAACAACATGTACCAATCAATGATTGTTGTCATCCCCTCCTCACTCCTACTTGCTTGTTAGCCAATATATATTTGAAGCATAAAGCATCACCAATATCTTAACATGTATACATACACACACAAAGACAAAGACATACATAACAGGCATATATAACATTAGCATTAACATTAACACCAACACATTCACACACACTCACTTGTTGCTGTGTGAGGATAATAATAACACGACGCTGGATGTTATTGTTGTTGACGACGAATCAAAAGGGTGTCGTGTGGTTAGTTAGTTAAGAGTTTGTGCGTGCGATTGTGATGTATGATGCGTTGATGAGAGGACTGACAGCAGGCAGGCAGCAACAACAATAAGCAAGCAACAAAACAGCAGCATCCAAGAAAATACTCAAMCAACAACAACAGTGCAGTATAATCATCATCATCATCAAATAGCTGTGCTGACTGGTCAGTAGTAGTAATAGTAGTAGTAATAGAAGTAGTGGCAACCAACCAACAGCTAGGAGGTTGGGTTGTCTGTCATAACCATCTTTATAACATTCTCCTATCCGCCATCAGAAACAGCAGCTGCAGCGGTAACCAATAACCAACTCCACAACCAACACTCAATCACTCAATCACTCACCCACTCACTCTCATTAATCAATCAATCAATCAAACAATCAATCAATCAATCCACACACTCACACACATATAAGGTTGGTTGTCAATTGTCTCTTTGTTTATAGAGAGTCTGTTATTGTATATTTATATAACAATCACCTTATTTATTATTCCATATACCTATTTATCTCTAAAGATAATTATATATCTGTATTTATATTTATATTTATCTCTGTATATATTTATTAATAATAATAATAGTAATATTACTTTACCCTACCAATGATGGATAACAACAACATATTTAAACTGGGTCACAGGAGAAGACACAGTAGTGATGGATCAGGCGCAAACTCAAACAGCAAACACCAAAAGATAGAGTCAGTTTGTGGCTGCGGCAAAAGCCAGACCATCGAAAACAACATTTATATAAGTGAGGTGCGATTCGACACTGCCTACTGGAAGGATATAATAGAGCGCAAGAAACTGGAGCGATCAAGAGAGCGCGCCAGAGTCCAGGCACAGGCCCAAGTCCATGCTCAAGCAATGGCATTGGTACAAGCTGAGACCCAGAAGGCCCAAGATCAAGCCCAGGCACAGGCACAAGCCCAAGCAAAGGCTGCTCAAGAACAATCATGCTCTGCCAAGCATGTCAATATATTGGTGGCCGAAGATGATATAATGTGCCAGTTGGTGGCAAAGAGACTGCTGTCTAAACTTGGTCACTCGGTCACCATTGCAAAGAATGGCGCAAAGGCCGTCGAGGAGGTGGTCAGTGGCAAGCCATTCGACTTTATCCTGATGGACGTGGAGATGCCCGAGATGAATGGTCTGGAAGCTACCGAGCGCATAAGACAATTTGAGCATGGCACAAGAAGGACACCAATCGTAGCATACACAACCAACAATCGTAGTAGATGTATCGATGCTGATATGGATGACCATCTACTCAAGCCCGCCAGTCTAGAATCACTACAGACCATGATTGCGCTGTTCACTGGCAGATAGATGTCCACACAATCAATCTACGTAGCACTCACACATGGCAGGCCATTATCTTGCCACCATTCATCCACCTCTTAATACCTGTATATATCAAATCACACCGACGACGCCGTACCCGCACCAATCCAATATGCATGGATGTTTCACATTGGAAGGGAGTGTTCCCTTCCACCAGTACTCTTTCAACATTGCCTCAAGGCTCGCCTCGACCAGGGCGTGCCAGGTGATGGTCAAATTTCAGTTAATACCACCAGAGACTCATCAAGGAATCATGCCTTACTCCTTCCTCATCTCAATCTTAATAAAGTTAAATTATGTACATAATATTAGGTTAAGCCATTGTGTTTAGTTTATTGGACTAACTGGAGTTTGTTCCTCTTCCATCGCTGTCTGGTTGGTTAACTGACTGATCAAGGACTGAGTTATGTCCTTGATATTGCAGCAGTTGAACTCCATAAAGACACTGGTGAGGAAGGCATTGATGTGTTGTTCCTCCAATCTCAAGTCAAAGTCGATGTAGTGAAGGAACTCCAACTCCATCTTGACCAAGTTCTCTCTATTGATGTTGAATCTTTTTGATACAGCATCCATGTTGATCTTGGTGTCGGTGTACATCTTCATGGTCTCAATGGCACTGGTCAGGAATAGCCAGAGGACTTGGCTCTGTCTGATGCCAACTCGACTGACATATTTATCGGCTAAATAGATAATTATATACAGGAGATTTGGTGATTCGTTTAAGTCATCCACTAACCAACTTAGAATCACCTCTAGGATGCCGGAAGATCCTTTCTCCATCTTCTCCATTGGGAGAAGTGTTGTGGTATAGGCATTCTTGCCATTGTTGTTGCTATCGATCACCCATTTGCACACCTTCTTTGCAAACAGGATCTCTGAATTTGGGAAGTAGTAGCTTAGGTATGGATGATGTCGCTCTCTCCTTGATCTCTGGCTGGTGCTGCCACAAGATGAGTTGACGTCATATTGATTGACGTTTGTGTTGGTGTTGTTGTTATTATTTATACAGTAGTCTATTGATCGGAAAGAGGAGCTAAGCATTATTATTGTTCTGATAAGGTGGGCTTGGGCTTAGTTGATGTGTGTGATTTGATGTTGTGATTGGGGAGTGTAAGTGTGTATGAGGGTAAGATAAATGTATTTGAGTGATGATAGTTGTTGAAGTTGATAGTAATATAATATAATAATATATATACAATTAAATAGATATACAATAATATTTACATAAGTTATGTTTGTCGGTAGTTATATTAATAGATGGGTTGATACAATGAATTATCAACTAGATATAATATATATATAAATATATCGATGCCACTACTAAGTCGTTCACAACATCCATCTTGCAATCAAAACGAGAGAGGAGAGAGGCAGGGAGAGAGAGAGAAAGAAAGAAGAGGGGTAGAGAGGACAGTAATCTTGGTATTGGTCACCTTTGGGCCTAGGTAGGTTAGGAAAGGAAACATGCCCCCTGCATTGCCCCACACCCCTCCCGACCCGGGACATGCCCCCATTTTGATTGGTCCGTTGGAAAAACCAACGAGTTCGATTTGCAAGAACAAATAGTCGTTCCAGAAATAGTGCTCGCTCCTCAGTGGAGTCCTGCCGAGAGGTCTAGAAAATCACCCCTCGGGGCAAGCGACAAAGATCGTTTAGTTACCCAAGCGTCGAAGATCTGTATTAGAGTCCATATCCGCCCATTCCATAGTCGTTTTGTCCACCACCATGACTGTGTCCGTGATGTCCACCACCACCATGGCTGTGTCCATGTCCATGATCGCTACCATGACTATGACCATGACCGCTACCACCACCGTGACTGTGTCCATGTCCGCTACCACCATGATTCTCTCTGACTGGAGGCTCTGGTTCTGGCTTGACCTTTCTCAGCTCGGGATCGATTGTATCGATCAGAACTGTGATGTGAGAGTCAAATACAGACTCCATCTCCTCTGGCAACAGGAATCCCTTTGACTCGGCCATGTTGACAAAGTGCATCGAGAACTTTGTTTGAATGAATGAACCTTGTGTTGCTCCGATTGTTTCAGTGGACAAGATAACCTGGGAGTTTGTCGATTGGTAGTCGACGACCAAAGGGTTCGTATTAATGATTACGCACGAGCGACGAGGAAAGACGACAACGATATATGTGGACTTACCTGTTTTGGCAATTTCACGTCGTAGGAAACTCTGGATGAGGTAAGGTAGAAAGTCCTCTTGTATGACAAATCAGACTCGGTGATGGTCCTAATATAGTTGTTAATGTTATTCCTGTATCTTAACGAGAAGGCGTAGCAGTCAAGCAACTCCTGTGCCAACTCAACACGATCTAGATAGTGTGCGAATGGATTGATTGAATGATATCATTGTCGTTGTTAGTGTTGGCTGCAAGGCAACAATCCATTGGCTGCATGTGGTCCATGGATACTTACAAACCAATTGGATGTACTTCCATCTAATCCAAGAGACGTAAGGGCTGGTAGCCAAGTTAATGATCATTCTACCTATGATTGGTACTCTAAAATTGGTACAATGATGATTGTTAGATTGTGACCGACGTCATCACCTCCTCTTCATCAAACATACCTGGCGATTCTGACATAGAGATCCTGCTTTGATATGTCAACGTTGGCGATGGGATCGACAAAGGTGACTGACTTGACGCGCGATGGGCTCTTGTCGGCAAACTGCATTCCAATGTCTGCAGACATGTCGTACATGACAAGATGCACAGAGTCAAGATTGAGCGAGTCGAGGATGTCACCCAAACGATCGGATATGTAGGATCTTGAACAGTTTACCAGCGAGTCGGAGAAACCAAAGCAAGGCAAGTCGATGAGGACTGGGTTGAGGTTAGCCTGACGCAGATATTCAATGGTGTTCCTGAAGAGGAACGATGTTGAGCCTTGACCGTGCAGAATGAGTATATTCTGCTTCAGGTTACGCTTGTTGTTGCCGCCATTGTGGATGACGAACGTCTTGAAGGTCTTGCGCGCACTGCTGTCATAGACGGGGATGAATGTACCGTTCTGGTAGTGCTCGAGTAAAAGAGTGGGCATATCCTTGAGATACAAGGACTTGTCTGCTGTCTCGTGATCCACCTGATTGAATGCTGACCATGCTGCAAATGTTATAAACGTAAGCATTATAATGCCTAGTATTCTAATACATGTTGCATTTCTTGTACTCTTCACAACATCTCGCTGCTGTTGTTGTTGTTGACGAGGTTTCTTTGATATATCTGTTGATGCTGTTGTTGCTGGCGATGTTGCTGATGTTGGTGATGTTGACTCTTCATTTTTGTTGTCTTTGGTGTTTGTTCTCTTCTTCAATGTGGACGACGTTGAAGATGATGATGAAGTAGACTTGTTCGTCTTTGACGTTGAGTCTGTATTATCTGTATCGCTCATTTTTATTATTATTATTACAAGTGATTAACTACAATGCCAAGAGTTCTAGTAATTAGTTTCTGAAAGTTCATTCTCATGTTCATGAAGATCTATCCCTCATTAGTCTTTGGGTGATGACGCGACAAGCGAAACTAATCTGGGTTATGGTATGATTGAATGACTGGAGACACCTACCTTGTTGTAACATGTCGGGATCAAGTGTTTGATATTTATTAATCGCGTTTCAAACATCCTAAGTTACCCGTGCGGTCTATTGGAATACTACCCTCTGCTTCTTGGACTTGTATCCACTCATTGTCAAGAAAGGAATACCTATAGGTGTGTATTCCACTGATTGCAACTAACATCTTTGGAAACTATCAAAGAGCATTTGGTGGGAGAGTGAAGATGCAGCTTGACATGGAGGCAGGATCACACTAAACTTGTGGGACAAAGAGTAGCGAATTATAGGTCCACTGTTTGATAGAGTGTACATTTGGCCTAGGTCATCCAAGCAAGTCGGAGGAATTACTTCATGGAGATGCTTATCTAGATGGAAGGCCAAGCTCATAGAGTAAATTGGATTCATTTGTACGAACATTGAACCAAACCATTCCTAATGTGGACATTATCCCTTCTCTGAGCATTTTGCCAATGATGAAGATTGAGTCTTGGGGGATGTATAAAGTGGCGTATCCCATCGAGATGTTTGAGAGTGTTCCAACAAGACTGAACTCCTTGGTGACAATATTGAATCTCTCCACGCGATCGATTTTTTTGGCAACAAGGTAGATGTGGACATCGCCGTCATAGCAAGTACCGAATGCCGTTCCACCTTCTATTCCAACAATGTTCTCTTAGTAACATATCTCCTCTGCCAATGAGTATCGGTGCACTTCTCTTATTGTGTACCTCGCAAGTTGTTGTTATACTACTATTGTTGTTGTTAATATCCATTCACTCTATCTCTATCACTATCTCAAAGTTTGGAAGAAACGACGATGGTTGAATGAATGGGTGATGGCTTGTTGTTTAATTAATGAAGTTAATCGAGTTGACCACAGTCAGAGATGATCACTGGGGTAATTGGGCCATCCTGTCTGTTGGTGGCAGTCTTCTCAATGGCATGAACGACCTCCATACCAGAGAGAACCTTGCCAAACACAGTGTGCTTGCCGTCCAAGAACGAAGTCTTGGTGGTGGTAATGAAGAACTGTGATCCATTGGCTACACATCATTCAAAGTTGATTGATTGTTTGAGTGGTGAGTGAGTGATTGATGGGTGCCATCGTGTCTAATCTACTTACTGTTCTTTCCAGCGTTAGCCATTGAAAGGGATCCAATCTCGTGCTTGGCAGTGAAGTTCTCGTCTGTGATAGTGTTCGTGTTAGTTGACATCCAATCACTTCGTTTCGCTTCAATCAATCATCAAATACTATACCGTTGAACTTGTTGCCATAGATTGACTCGCCTCCGATGCCAACACCATGAGTGAAGTCACCACCTTGGATCATCTGTAGATTACAATGATGAGTGAATGAGAGAGTAAGTTGATTGAATGAGCGAGGCTTAACTGTTAACAGTGACTACTTACAAAGTTGTTGATGACACGGTGGAAGGTTGAACCCTTGTAGTGCAGGGGCTTGCCCATCTTGCCCATACCCTTTTCACCAGTGCACAGAGCTCTGAAGTTCTCAGAGGTCTTGGGAACGATGTCGTTGAACAACTCCATTGTGACTCTGCCCAAGTTCTTTCCACCTTGAGTAATCTCAAAGAATACCTTTGCTCTGCCTGCCATATCTATCTATCTAACTTCTTGAATGTTATAAGTTTATAAGTTTATAAGTTCAGAAATGAATGAAACGAGTCTGTTTCTTTCGTCGTCTTTGTGATCACAACTTTCATTCACCCACACACACTGTCAACCAATCAAAGACTACATCATCAAGATGTCACTCGTTTATTTGTTTACAATGATATAGAATAAGTCAGTACCTTAGGTTGAATACGATATGATTGATCGGATAAGTTCCACTTATTGTTATAAGATATATATTGGAAGTTATTCGTCTTTGACGATTAGGACCTACTTCCAAAAGCGGGAAATGAGCTGTCACTCGTTTATTTGCGCGAACATATCAACTTGAAACAGATAATAGTTAGGATGCTTCCTAGATCCTATATGTTTGTTTTTAGGAATGGTTTGACTAATGTCAATGTATCGCGAAGGTTGATGTCAACATTCACTCAACCTCAACATCATCGACATCCTCAAGAAAGCTCACTTGCCAATGTATCACTCTATGTTCACTGGCCATACTGCTCAAGTATATGTCCATACTGTGCATTCAATAAGTATTTGGATGGTCCACATGTCAATCACAATGCAATGAAGCAGGCTATGTGCAAGGAGTTGACAAACATCGTCTCAAAGTACTACCCATTACGAACTCCCAAGTTGACCTCAATATACTTTGGTGGCGGCACTCCATCACTGGCACATATCGATACATTGCAGACAGTTGTACAGACTGCTGCAACTACATTTGGCACTCCACTTGACTCGTTGGAGATCACACTGGAAGTCAATCCCGATCGCATGGACATTGAACGTTTGGTCGAGTTCAAGAGACATGCACACATCAATCGAGTGTCTCTTGGAGTGCAGGCACTCAATGATGCTGACCTGGCATACCTTGGACGCACTCATACAGCCAAAGATGCACGAGCTGCTATCATGGCATGCAATGAACACTTTGATCGTGTCAACTTTGACATGATATATGCGAGGAGGAGTAGCCAATCTCCAAGCGAATGGAGGGCAGAGATCAAGGATGCCATCAGTCTATGTCTGCGTGGACACATGTCCCTTTATAGTCTATGCTTTGAAGAGGGCACCAACTTCTTCAGGAGAATGGAGTCGAAAAAGACCAAAGATAGAAGTATGTTGATTGATTGATTTATTGATTGATTGATCGTGATGTCCTATGTCTAACACAATGATCAACAGTTATCCCAGCCGACCATGACCTAGGCTATGAGTTGTACGCCATTGCCAAGGAAGAGACTGAGAAGGCAGGACTATTTCAGTATGAAGTCAGTAACTTTGCCACGCCCTCCCAACAAAGCATGTAAGTTCAATGTCCACGATAGGCCAAGTCACAAGGCTAACAATCCCCTGTACATCATCAATCTAGACACAATCTGAACTACTGGAGAGGCGGAGATTATATTGGAATTGGACCTGGCGCATGCTCAAGAGTGACCAATCAATCAAATCAGAAGAGGACTTCGCTAAAGTGCCTCCTTCACCCAAGAAGTTGGCAAGCACAGGTCGATCAAGTAGGCAACGGACTAGATCCAAAAGAAACAAAAGAGCTGACAAGCGAGGAGTGTATCAACGAGCATCTGCTGATGGCTCTGAGGACTGCCGAGGGTCTCAATCGTCAGCGATTCCAATCAATATCAGGTGGACGATCATTGGAGCAAGTGCTGCCCATGTCCAAACTCAACCATGCGATTAACAATGGCCTGTTGATACTTGACGAGCAACGACTGTACCCCACGCCCAAGGGTATGATGTTGCTGGACAAGGTCATTCTGGATATATGTATATAATGAACGAATGTTTAATTCAGGTCAAATAGAGTAGTCTAGTCTAGTGACAGTTTCCAATACCTGTAACAGAGTATGTCACAGAGTCACTCAGACGAGTGGAGTACAACCATCGGTAGTCGCCTCCAGCAGGCACCATCTTGGACTTGGGCAGTGTGAGCACGGTGCTGGCCTGGCCATCAACGGTGCGATCCATTCCAATTGCAAACACAATGTCGTCCAGTGTAGACAACACCACGTCAGTGATATTGTTGTTAGAATTATTGATTAAATCCACTTCCCAGAATGAGTATGTTATTCCATTCGATCCCCTCCATTCGTATCCTTTGCGTTGGCTATAGTTCAGTTGACAGACTTGGGAATGAACAGAGTTAGTAAGGATGTAATGACAGGACACACAAAGCCAAGATATCAACATACTCGTTGTGTCAATCTTCTTGACTTTGGAGTTGGTTGAGCTCAATGGGGTCTTCTTGATCACGGTTGCTGGCACATGTGCCGGAGAATGTGGCTGTGTCTGTGGCACTGTCTTTGGCACTGCCTGTGTATGTGCCTGAGTCTGTGTACGCACTGTCGCACTCTTGGACGAAGATGTCATGATATTGTTGCGCATGAAGTTACACTCGGGGTACTCTGGCAGGAGCGTGATCAGAGGCTCAACACCTTTGGCAGTGTATTGCATGGTGATATGATCATTTGGCTGAAGTGATAGAGGTGGACTGAAGGAGAAACGGTTGAGGTAGTAGTTACGATTGATCGTTACAATGTTGTCGCTCATGACCATTTGGAGATCAGTGATGTTGGCATGTCCAGTGTTCTTGATCGTTATATTCCATTGGGAGAATGTATGTCCATTGTCTCTGATGACTGAGAGACGATGATGATCCACTTCAACCTTGCATTGTAACTCACCAAACACATCCTTGTAGGGAGTCAATGCAGGCTTTGGCACGCTTGGTACTGGTGCTGGAGTTGTTCTGCTGCTCCTAAAGCTGCTTTGAGTTGATGTGACCTTCTTTCCAATTCCAAACCTGTGTAGCTCTTTGTCAAAGACTACAAAGGAGTCTGGGGCATGTTATGTTAGTCTCAACCATCATTCAATCAACAGTCAACCAGTCATCAATCATTACTTACTTCTCAACCAAGAGAGTCCAAGGATTGTCCTCTGCTCCAGGGGAGACCTGACAACACCAAGACATCGATATGTGATGCCATCCTCAACTGTTGTTGCCAAGTATGTAGCGGGTGATATCGATATCTCTACATCACCAACAAAGCCAATCTTGATCGTTGGGTACATGTTCACCTCTTCATCAGTCAGAGTCTGGCACTAAAGAGTATTACAGGTCAGTCAATCATTCAATCAAATCAATCATTCCAAACGAAGAAAGGACTTACATATCCATCAACTAGTGATTGCTCCCCACAGACAGCTGGAAGAGAGCAGTTGCGAACAAGGTACTCTTTGAACTTGTCGTAGGCATCGGGGGCCATGAGTGTGAATGTGGATCCAGTGTCAATGATGGTGATACCAAGGTCTTTGGAGTTGAGCACCAGTTTGTCGGGGTAGACATGAGTGGACATGACAGCATAGCTCGTGAACACACCATAGTGAATGACATCGATTGATAGCAATGGTGTGTAGGCCAGTAGGTCATTCTGTGGCTTGTCCACATCGCCAATCGTTAACATTCCATTATACGATTCATCGAACCACATTGCAAACTTGCGCGAAATGTTCAAATGATCAAAGACCGCGTCGATGGCGGACTTCTCACAACGTGGACATGTGTTGCCCATGCCCATGATTCCGTACATCAATGGATGTCCGCCCTCCTGAGTGTATATCGATCCAAATGTCAGTTGACTGGCCGGCATATTCTCTGCCATCTTGAAGCTATCAGTGACGATATATGCTGTTTGTTGGGTTGGTTAGTGTGCTGGGTCATGTCGACGCCAAGCCTGGCACACACTTACAATTGATCTTTGTTTGATCGAGATAACTGATCTGATTGGTACACGTTCCATTGGGATGTGCAGGTGTTGTTGTGCAAGAGTTGATGTAGGAACCAATACATGCTGCTGACTTGCAAGACATGTAGTTGGCTGTGGACGATGACTTGTAATATGGTTTGGTCTGGTGGCAAGTCTGACATTCCGACGATGGCACCACCAACATGATCGAACCTGAATCGACTATAACCTCTTGTTTCTGATCAGCAACCCATATAATCGTGCGAATATCAATGCCCTCGCCACTCATCCTAACTGCGAATCGATCTTCATTCAATGTTCAATGTGATTGATGTTAGTATTTTTGGTCTTCCTGGCTCTGTCGCATCTCTCACATGTAGTTTGTTGTTGCTTACCATCGCCTAGACTATGGACAACTTTGGAGGGATGGGTTGGCCGTTGCCATTTGGATGGTTTGCCAGACTTGCCTGGATAGAGAGGCAGTGAGTAAGAGGTTGGCGCATTGTTTGTGATCTCGGACTCGAGTGCCTGGACAATCTCCAGGTGCAAGGACGTGGACAACAGTATCAATGCTAGAGATAGTATGACACAGAATATTAGTTTCATTGTAAACTGGTCAAGCTTGTGGTTGGTTGTTTGTAGTAGCTAGCAGATGTAGTTGTAGTAGTAATACGATCGGATCTTAAGTGATGGCCAACGTGCATGCACTTAAATGCAATGAGTAGACTGGCCATTCATTCTTGAAACGACACAATCTAATCTAGTGTCAAACACGTCATATGCAGCCAATCCACTGATCATTCGTCAATCACCACACTGTGTGTAAATGCGTGTGTGATTGATTGTGTGTCGGCAATGAATCAGCTGATGTGGTGAGAGTGTGTGTGGGAGTGTGGTACTTACATCATGTCCATGTTCCGTGAGATGGATAACGCATGGAAGAGTTCAATGAACAACTGGACCAACTACAAATGTTTGGTTGGTCATCAGTGTATGTTCCATCAGCGACCACCATCAAGTGTGTCTAAACATTGAGCTGATGGACATATCTGTCAACGACATACTTGAGCTCCTCTGCTCGTATTGGTTTGGCGATGTATTCATCAAATCCTTCGTTGTTTGGATATATTATATATCCGGTAAATGTTGGGATTTAACATGATTGTGTTAGGTATTGATTGATTGAATAGTCTTCAATTGTTTGTTGTTGTTGTTGTTGATGTTGAGCCCACTTACCACTCATCAAACACTTCTCTCTTGCTCCTTTGGTCACGTTTGCAGTCTAGTATTATACAATATTGGACAAAGATAGTAAGTGACTTGAATGATTGAGCACGTGACTTGAAGGGTACTTACCACAGTCACTATGGGAGTATGCTTGTCCGTTCCCTCCAACTGCCTGATGATGTTGGTCGCTTGATATCCATCCATTTGGGGCATGAACAGGTCCATGAGGATAAGTTTGAATGGTCCTGGAGAGGTCTTGTAACGATGGACTGCCTGGAGACCGTCGGTCACCCACAGACATCGCGCACTGTACACGCCAAACTTCTCCAGCAGCTTCAGGAGGAAGCCTGCATTCATCTCATTGTCCTCCACGACCATCACGTCGTGATAGCCACCGACTCCAACCGATGGCCTGTGTTGTTCGTGTTGCTGGTATTCCAGCTCGATGCGAGGCATTGGCATGCCCATCAGGGGACCGGCATCCATCATCTGGCGATCGATATAGTTGTCGTGTAGCAATCGTTTGGACAATGTATCCAGTGTGCTGAGTGATGGTAGTAGAGCGCGTCTGTTGCTCTCGTCTTGCTGTTCAATGAGTGATGATGGATAGTCTACCGCCGCGGCAGAGATTGCCTGTCGCTTGTTTGAGCTGCGCTTGATGTACTCCAATGCATTGTCAATGTCTTCGATTGATGACATCTGCAACTGATCGAGTGGCGCGTATGTTTCGCTTCGCTTGAGGAATGGCACATTCTTGAACATACTACTGCGCACCTGTTGTTGCTGATCTCTTTCGGGAGAGGACAATGACATTGAGTTGCCCGATGCCGCAGTGGACGACGATGTTGTTGCTGTTGTCGTGGTCGTCGTTGTCGTTGTCAATCCCTCCAACTCCTGTGTGTACAATGGTGGTGTATTGTACTCCATCGCTGCCGATGGGAAGCTGTTAAACACTGTTGTGCCAGTAGTATACACGTCAGCTACTGTCTCTTGATACTTGGGCACCTTGCCCAGGTCAAGACTGTACACAATGTTGTTGGGGTTGGAGTTGGAGTTTGTGCCATAGCTGTCGACGGTAACTGCATCAGGAGGACCCCTCCTGTTGGCTGGATCAAGCATCAACATGACATTGTCATCATCGCTGTTGCTTTGAAGAATGCGATCGACGCTCTCCTTATTGTTGTAGAACTGGTAGTTGAGGTAGGCACCTTGTTGACCTCCGCTACCGGTCGCATCTACAGCCCTTGTCTGTTGTCCAGCCTGGCGCGACTTGTACGCTGATGCTGGGGGTGGGGGTTGTGTCGGCGTCTGTTGCTGAGGGATGTCCACATCATAGGGCATTGACGTGGAGAGCTTTGTGACTGTGTAACTAGGCTGCTTCGAAGCAGCCTGACCAAGTGTCTGTGCTATCAGTTGCTGTTGTGACTGTGTCTGTGTCTGTTGCTGTTGTGACTGTTGCGACTGCTGATGTGTCAGAGGAGGAGGAGGCGCGGGCATTTGTTGTCGCGGCACCAATTTGTTCTGCGGATAGATTAGACTGAGTATCTGTCGGAATGCCTCTTTGGTGCGAGGTGGTGCGTCAGACACACACCAGTAGCCGCCCTGCATCTTGCTGGCCAGCAGCTTCTCGATACGACGGGTGTGTGTGATCGATGGCGATGGTGAGTTGGTGCACACCAACACGCCGTACAGAGGTCGCGATGCATACTGCTTGACGATCAGCTGCAGGTGCGACAGACAGTCGTTGAGAAAGTCAATGTCAGAGTTGTTGAGCACGCCATTAGTCGTCGGCAGTCCAATGTAACCAAGTACTCGTGTCTTTGGTGTGATGTCAAAGTGATGACTATTGTCGCGCAATGACATGTCGATCAGTGAATGAGTGGGCATCTGACTTGGCTCCAACAATATTGTAACAAAGCGATCTATTGTGAATAGACTAAACAGTTGACTAACATCCTGTAATGTCTTGTTCTTATTATCAATCACGATGCCGACCAGTGTCTCTGCGGCGCCATCTGAAGTCGCCAATGTATTGGTATTATTATTATTATTGTCTGTTGTAGTACTAGATGTATCTGTCTGTGCCATCTCAAGGCACCTATAAGTCAATCATATATTAATTGTTTAGTACTTTGATTGTTTGAAGAATAATGTAGCTGGTCGCGTTTGAAGATCATCAAGTTCATCAAATGTGTGAGGGTAAGTGTGTGAGGGCAAGGGCAAGGGCAAGGGTTAGGGTTGTAGGAATCTGGGATTTATTGAGAATGGGAAGCAAGCATGATTGGATTGAGGGGATGGGTGGATACATTGGAATGGATTCTACATTGATTGGACTCTCTTGGACATTGATGTTGATGAGTTTGGTGATTGTCTTGATGTTGACATGTTGTTGTTGTTGGTAATTGATCCAATACTCATGTTCATGGATACAGACTGTGCTCCATTACCACCATTACTACCATTACCAACATTATTAATATTATGGCTATTGGATATTGCCAATGGTGAAACTGGGACTGTCTTGGGCGATGTGGATGGCGATGGCAGTGAATCACCAATGGGACAGATCTGCTCGGTGAGCATCTCCACGATGGTGACCAATGGCACAAAGGATTGTTGGCTATTGCCACCACTGACGGCCTGCAACATATTGTAGAGATAGCATACTTGTGACATGCCATACTCAATCAACACATTGAATGTGGCCAGCTCCTTGGACGAGTTGCGATGCTTCACAGGAGTCTTGAACGAGCTGGATTGGAGGGGCTCGGGATTGACACTCTGGCAGTTCTTGTTAACGTCGATGTAGATCTGGCGCTGGATGGTCTCGAGTATGTCCACGTCCAAGACATTGGCCAGCGTGCTCTTGATGTCAAAGTACTTGTTGCGCGACAGGATCTTGGGGATTTGGCCAACCTCGGGGAAGACGCGGGCCTGCTCCGAGCTCCAGTAGTCAGAGATGCGGTCGAGAGAGTGAGAGTTTATGAAGAGCGAGACGACAATGAATGATTCAATGAGGTTGGAGGTGATTGGAAAGCGACCGCCAATGAAGTGCGACAATGAGATGGGTCTGGACATGATTTCCTTGCTCCTGACACGCGCGATCATGTCAACCAACTGGATGATGACATTGTGGAAGATGCGACGGAAGCATTCCAGGGGTGTGGGACCACCCTGTCTGATGGCCATTGATGGCTCACCCGCGGCCTGAGACCAGGCAGAAACCTTGGTCTGGGCGGCAACGCCAACAACTCCAACGTCCAAGAGATAGGGCATTGGGTTATGCGAGTGACGGTGACCCATTGAACGTGGGTCCTCAAGTGGAGAGGAGGGCGCAGATGTCATGTGAGGAGGGGAAGTGAATATGGCCGATGAGTCATCAGACGACTCGAACAGGCCCTCATCATTGGAACATGAATAAAGGAGGGGAGGGCATTGGGAATGGGAATGGGAGAGGGAGTGCTTGGTGGAAGAGGTGGAAGTGGTGGAAGAGGTAGAGGTAGAGGAAGAGGATGGGGATGTGCCATAGGCCGAAGCGGCCACCGCTTTATATTCTTTGTTGGTGGTCAACAACAATGGATGCATCATGCCGCCATAGGGATGATACTTGGCCGTGCTCAACTTTGAGGCCGCGGCAGAGGGAGAGGTGGAGCGCGAAGCATTGGGGGATGGGGAGGAGTTGGTGGAGGAGGAAGGGATGGTGATGGAGGAGAATGAGGAGCCAAGGGGAGATGAGGGCGCGGACGATGGTGCCTTGGACTGGGGGACAAACGCCACAGACGCGCCATTTGAAGCGCCAGCATTGGAATATGAAGTTGTTGAGGAAGTAGTTAGTGCATCTTCACGGAGTCTATTTTTGAGCTCAAAGTCAAGTTGGTTAAGAGAGGGGAGCATTGGAAAGGATCCATTCATTGAGTGACTAAGTGAGTGAGTCGTCAGCATGTTGCTGCCGCCGCCCACAAAGTCCTCACACATGTTAGTTGGAAGGAGAATGTCGTGGATAGATGACATAATTAATGATTGTTATGTTTGATTGATTGTTTGAATGAATGGATAAAAGTTGGAGTGAATGGAGTGATATTGATTGATTGATTGATTGAATGAGTGATCGGATGATTGATTGATGGATATATATGTAAAGTCCGATGGATGTTAAGATATATAGATTAATATTGTAGGTTGTTGGAATAGAATAGTAATAATAATTGTTGTACTACTATTTGTTTGATTAGTTTGAGTATCAATCAGTCAGTCAGGCTGAAATGTCAGGGTCCATCATCACCTCAAACACAGGACAAGGATGCAGGAAAGCGGGAGAGGTAGAACAGACCCCCCGCCAAGAGGGCATATATTGAGCAGCGACGACGCAAAAAATGGATAACAGCGTAGTGAGAGATTGATTTGCCAGCTTAAGTTCATATCCAGTCCTGAAACCGAAGACATCCAAACTCCGGATGTGTGGGAGCATGTTCCGAAAAAGACCCGAGCACAATCATGTCAGGCACACGCACTGCCCACACTCGTCCTAACACGATTCATGCATGTTTGAATGAATGGAATGGGTGACCGAACTAACTCTCACACACTGATCACTCTCATCGCAAGGTATGTGTTGATGTCATGCCCATGTTTGATGCCTAGCGACAACATTTTACCAATTGTTTTTATTTTTTTAAAGGCACCAATCAGTCCACGAGGCCTCATCATCAATGCTTTGCAACAATAAGTAATCGATGCGAACACTCCTGGATGCATGCTTTCATACATCTGATCATACATTCCCATCAGAGGTAGTTAGGTGTGTCACTCACTTAATCAAGCACTACACATCTGGATCGACCTTGGCCTGGTCTGTGGCCCACACTCACACATTCATACATCACATGTCTCTGGTATGGGTCCAGCCGGACCGGGTCTTTGCACATGTTTGACCAGAGCATTACCATCACCGATCGGTAAGACCTAAACAACACCACCACCAACGCTGGCCACAACTTTGAGATATATCTGGAAATGGCTGGATGGCTCAGCGTCAGTGAGTCTTTGGGTCAATGATTCATTGATTGAGTAATGGGATGAATGAATGAATGGAATGAGATATATATTGATAGGTGACATTTATTAACAAGAATGTATGAATGAACGAACTCAGAAGTGAGGGTATCATCATCATTTGGATTATTAAGATAATGGATGGATTGGTGGAAGATTGGGGATGGACGAAAGTTGTGATCATGGTTGGAAGTGGTTGGATGGATGTGGATAATGGGTGGGGCATATAGTACTACAGGGTTTGTGTAAGGTTAGGAGGCTCTCATCTGGGGCAGGGAACGAACGGTCATCCCAGCAGGCGTCTTCCCTGGGGGCCAACAGCATCGAAAGGGTAGGGGGCGATTAGGGGGCATCTTTGCTGTCGCGACACCTGTTGTGACCACCGTTGTTGGGGCGCGGGACAAGGCACGTTTAGTTCTTGTCGACAGCAATGTTGGGGTTTGGCATCGATGGAACAACGTAGTAGTACTGCATTGGGTAGTACTGCTGCTGCTGGCCCTGTTGCTGACCATTTGGCATTTGGATGCTTTGGATCTGTTGGCCAAATGGAATGTTGACTGGAACAAAGTATGGCTGTTGTGGCTGCTGCTGTGGAGCTCCAGTGGATGGCGAAGCTGGCTGTTGCTGTGGCATGGCCTGAGCAAACTGAGCGAGCTGAGCTGGGTAGAAGTTGGCATGCTGTTGTGGCTGAGCCTGTTGTGGCTGCTGAACAGATGGAGCAGCGGCAGAGTTTGACTCGACCTCAATCTCAACAATGCTAGAGACTGGGACGTACTCGCCATTCTTAACCTCAGACTTCAAAGCCTTAATGTATCTGGCGTAGAACTTCAAGCATGATGCCTATGTTTGTTTGATTGAAGTGATTGATTGAATGAATGAATGGGTGGAATAGTTCCAGTGATTGATTGATTGAATGAGTTAGTGAGTGTGAGCGATTGATATGAAGTTGTTCGAGAATATACATACGTAGAAGGTGATCTCAATGAGGGGAGAAGATGAAGGACATGACAGACCAACCAGCAGAGACGTAGTAACCAAAGGCATAGGACATGGTCACGCAATAGAATACGAGGAGCATGTAAAGGAGACATGATAGACCAAAGTGAAGATATACCAAACATAGACGTCTGCTAAAGATTGAGTATGTAGCAGAGATATATCCAGCTACAACAGCAATCCACCAAAGACCTTGTGGGTTGAACATAAAGACACAGAGCAACTACATTGTTGTTTGGTTGATTGATTGAGGTGATGTTAGTGAATGATTGAATGAATGGATGAATGAATGATTCGTACAGCTTGATAAAAGACGAATGAGAATGCCCAGATCTTGCCTCTGATTGAGATTGGGTCGAGAGAGTGATGTGGCTGAGTGACTGTTGTGGCAACTACAGTGACGTGCTCATTGTCGGCAACGTCATTGATTGACACCTCCTGTTGTTCGATGACTTCAGCACCCATTTCTTTGTTATATTATATTTTATATATATATTTGTAGATAATTTGTAAATAAGTAAGTATGTTTGTTTTAAAAAAGTGACGGATTGATTGTGTGTTGTGAAGGCAGTAGTGATGGTTGATAGTTCGCTAGTGTGTGTGGATGCTGACTGGACAAAACACTTCGTGCCTCACTTGGGTATCCAAGCCAATTTTGAAAAATTAAATAAGCAAAAATATGGGAACTACGTTGTTTTTTCGACCTTCCAATCACAATTGTGTGTGGTTCTGATCCTGGTCCAAACACTGACCAACAACACACACAAACACACATTAGAACAATTAGTGTCTTGATCAATAACATTCTTTTTATGATCTCAAAGAACTAAAGAATAACAACCTTGGTTTGGTTTCTGAATGAATGATTGATTGATTGATAAAGATAAGTTTGTTCTTATCACATATAATCACTTATAAATAGATACAGATAATCCATTTCTCTATTATTCACCAACTCTCTTTTTGGTACCTTGCACCAAAAATGATTCAACATGTCAGTCGACTCACTTAATATCTCTATCTTTAGTTTTTTGATGACTGAGTGATAGACCCGACGTGAAGTTGGATAGAGTCGTTATTATAAAAACGATGCCCATCATTAAATAAAAGTTTGCCATTCTTGCCTGTATTGGCATTCGTTTGGCTTTAATAGTCATTACAACCGCGGTTCAAAGGCAAAGAAACAGACCCATTCACTCTTTGAATCAATCTGTGTCTGAAAGGACCTTACCTCTATTGTTTGAATGGGGAGGTCCGCAAGTCGAAACAAACTTGGAACATCCCATCAATCAATCAACACACTTGCCACACTTCCCACAAGTTGTGGAGACTACTCGGATATGCCCCATCAAGGCCCTATGCTCGACGATGCTTCGTTGTAATAATAATAACACAACACACTATTGACTTAATGACATGAAGGCTGTCTCGTTGTTAACCTTGTGGTAACTAACATAGTTAGATAGTCAATCAATCACACGGCCCCAACACTTTGGTTGTTGGAGCGACCCCTCGCGCCGCATCCACATGTTCCATCACATCATACGCTAGTTCTCGCTCCACTGTGAATGCGACAACCTAACCTAATCTACCTCACCTGGTGAACTTAAGTTGGTGTCGTGTCGTGTTCGTGGTCCACATTTACAAACGACAGGTCCTGTCACACGCTACCAGATGTCCTCTCGCATTCACAGATATTTGGCCTGCTCACCATAGATCTCCTGGCCACCAAGAGTTGTTCGTTAACCTTTCCTTCGCCAGCTATCACTATCAGTTCACTCTTCACACTTGTTGTACTTACTAAGAATATAACACTGTCTGTTGCTTTGCTTGCTTGTTGACAGGTACTCACCTTCACAGTATTGATTACCAGTCACCCTTACTTCACTCATCTTTGAACATACATACATATAACAAAGGTTGTTACTGCGCTTAGCCACTCAACAGCGTATGATATGTACTCATTTAAGCATTCAACAACAACCAGACATAATCATCACAACAACAACTACAACAACAACTATAACAACAACGAGACAAACAACAATAATTATAATATAACAACAACAAGATTAAATCTATTGGATACATTTGATATGATGGTAACCTTTGGTTCCTCCAATCAAACTTCCAACAACTCACCATCATTGCTAAGCGGCAGCGGCGGAAACACATTTGTCAACACACTTGGCAACTCATTTGACAATATGGAGCAACTCTCATCCAGTCCATCCAAGCACAACAATTACAACAACAACTATAACATCAATAGTAATAATAATAACAATAATAATAATAACAACACAATGGTGATTACCGCTGGAAAGGATTCACCTACTTTGACCAGGAGGTTTAAGAAGTCTCCTGTGTTCATGTCGCCAGTATCCGTGTCAACTACCAGTACCAGCACATCGACTACCACCACACCAAATGCCAGCCCCTACCAATCTCCCAATGTTAAACAACGTGAGAGTGACAAGGACTCATCATCCTATGATGCCATGGGCAGCTATGTGATGGACCTTCGCGACAACTTTATCGAGGACTACTCAACAAGGGTTGTTCCTCCAATCAAGTCCACATTACCATCCACACACATAGGCAAGCCACTGCCATTGCCACAATCACCACCACAACAACCACAGCCACACCTACCCCAACTACCACAAATACCTCAAGTATCCTCGGCAGTATCCGAACTAAAGATGCAGTTGCTGGAGAGTCTGGATATGTACTCGACCCTGACTTCGTCGGTGGACTCTTCGCTGACTACTCAGTCGATGCCAGAGTTGCCGCTTTATACACCAAGGAAGAATTGGATTAATGGCTCAAAGGTCATGTTGTCTACATACGATCGACGCCACTTCCTCTCACCTACTCGTGGTCGCAAGAGCTTGGGCAAGTCCACAACAACTGGGCCAAGATACCTCACCATCACCCGTAGTGTCTCGCAGTATCTCACGCTCAGACCAAAGAAGTCTCGTGGCAACCTTTCCAAGTCTACGTTCGTTGGCGAGGATGTACTGGAGGAGTTACAACATCAAGAGCAACAACATAAGGAACAACAGGAGCAACAACAGCAACACCCAGTCGATCAATCGTCGCCAGAGAAGGATGGCGCGTCCATTAGTAGCAAGTCCAACGATGGACATGCCACCATCAGTCCAAGGAGATTAATGGTATGATAGGTAGATCAACAGTTCAATCACTCAACGTACTTGATTACTAACATCATTCATTAATGGGTACTACGGCAACAACAGAGGACTGGAACACTTAGAAAAATATACAAGAACATCAACAAACATATTCACAGCTCTGAGGCAATTGACAAGAGAACAAAGAAGCTGAGGGAGATCATCGACTCGACAGTGGAGCACACGATCATCAAGCGCTACTTCCCATACGACTTGAACATGGACGTCCAGACCGAGTTTGAGCTGTGGGTCACCGATGGAAAGTACTCGGAGGGCCGACAGCTCGACGAGATGGTCAAGACTCTGTCGGACGACTGTGATACTACACGCACGGTGAAGCCAGCCGACGTCGAGGACTTTATCGACCGCTTCACAGACAAGATATTGAACGATCACAAGCTGCAGGATACTGCCAGCTCAATGCCACTGATATACGACGACATATCAACACATCACATCATCGCTCAACTCACCAAGCGCATACTCTATCCGCGCATCCAACTCATGACCAAGGCCATCCTAAACAATCACAATGGATCAGTGTTGACCACCAAGTACAACAATCAATGTCGCGAGAAAGTGTTATCCATGCGATCCAAGACCATCCAAGAGCTTAACTTACTTCCAAGCGTATGTATACTTCACTTGTGTCAGTGTCTTTCCGTGTTTCCGTGTTTCCAGCGGCCACGCACGAGACTAACCAGGCCCAATCAATCCCAACCAATGTAGTGTTTCCCATCGGATGTTGACTTCTCCTACAAGAACCCATTCGAACCAGCTATATCCATTATCAACAGGATACCATCACTCTCTGTACCAATCGATATTATTTATATCATTCAAAAGACAATCAGTTGTATACATACTATATCCGTCAGCCTGTTGGACAATGGCAAGAAGTTTAGTGGCATTAGTACTTTGTCGCGACGTGGCAATCCTGGCCCGTGGTCCGACACCACTGCGCTGGGCGCCGACGAGCTGTTCCCTCTATTCGTCTTTGTACTGATACATTCCGAGGTCATTGGCTGTTCATCATTCGTAGTATCGCTCCTCCAACACTTCACTCTGAACGATCTGGAAACTGGTGGGGAGTTTGGCTGGTGCTCAGCCTCGTTCCACGCCGCCATTGCCCATCTCAATCAACTGTAGTGATGCGATGCGATGCGATATGATCATTCAAATAAACCGTGCGTGTGTTTGGTCAATCAACCAAGACGAATTGTAGTGGTGGTGTTGTCGTTGTTGTTGCGTGTGTTGGGCGACTCTCTATCCCCTCAACCAAAAACAGGCCTCATGAATAAATAGATCCACGAATGTCTGATCGAGTTGGACCAATCAGATTGTTGTTCAACTAAAATGTTTGATCATTGGGGAATGTGTGCTTCTAGTTCTTGTCCCATTGGACTGTTTACTTGGAGACAAGATTGATCCACATTACTGACTACTTCACTACTCATTCATACTCCCTAATAACAAACATAGAATGAATATAAACATAAAAGTTATCCCTTCACTTGTGATATTAGTATCACTAACATTTGTAATAGTACATGGCGCTCAAAGTAGGTACCTTAGATATCTTTCAAAATTGATTGGTTGATTGACTGATTAATAATATGTTGTTAAGGTCCAATTTTCAATATAGCAGTGATGGATCATCATCCAACTTTAAATAGTAACTTTGATTCATCGAGTTCACAAGGTGGAGTTATCAAACATGTTGTGAGTCAGACCTTGAACCCAATCACATTGGTTCCAGAGTTGAACAAAGAGTATCCACTCGATCCAAAGTCCTTTATGGTTAAACCGGAACTATTCCCTACATTCTTTACAAAGACCAAAGGTATCAATGCCTATGTACCAATACAATTCAATGTAAATTACTTCCCAGATTCATTTAGACCTGACAAGGAAGAGGTAAAGCCACAATACTATCCAATTGACAACAAAGGATTGGATGAGTTACCTGGAATGGGAATATACCGTGACCTCCGAAACTTCTATCATAACTTCCACTTCTGTATCAAAATACATGCCTTCTTTACTTATGGAGTATGTATCCAGAATTGTAAAGATTATATCAAGTATGGATGTAACTTACTGGAGTTGACAATGACAACTTGTAGGGATCGGAAATCTTCACAGTCCAGGCCGACGATGATGTCTGGGTATACATCAACAATTCATTAGTATTGGATATAAGTGGATACCATACTCTACAGACCGTATCAGTCAACATACCTGGTCTAGGTTTGTCACAAGTATGCTTGATCAATCAATCAATCAATCAATCCATCGCTCAATCACTGACACTCCATTGATCAACAGGGACAAACATATCCTCTGGATTACTTCTATTGTAATAGGTATACACCATCATCTTCATTGGCTATCAAGACTACAATGACTTGGTTGATTCTATGGACTGATTATTGTGGAATTAGTAATGGTGATGGATCATGTTGTGAAGCATCGGACGATTGTAATGATGATGACTTGTGTACAATCGATACATGCCCATCTCCATTGACCAATGGCGCCAACTCCACCAACTTTAGACAGTATTGTAATCATACAAGGATCACTTGTGATGAACAGACGAAGTCAGACCTCTGCTTCCAACATCAATGTGAGGGAGGCAAGTGTGTCGTCGGTGCTAGGAAGACATGTCCACACATCACATGCCATGTAGATACTAGTTGTGATCAAGAGCTTGGATGTCAATATGAACCTCTTTGCAGGAATGATATATGCCACACTGTACAATGCGTGCCAGGCAACGAGACAACATCAGACACTTGTACACGTTCTCCGATCGACTGTACAGGTAAAGACAAGTACTGCATGGACTACGCAAGCGACCCAGAGCTGGGATGCACATCCAAGCCCAAGCAATGCGGTCCACCAATCAACTCGACTGAATCAAAGTGCATGAGGTACTACTGCACTCCAGGTGTAGGATGCCAGTCATCATTGATGAATCAGACTGAGTGTGATTGTTGTGATCCAACATTGACACCAAAGTGCAAGGTGGCCACATGTAATGTAACAACAGGCAACTGCGACTACACTGATGTATCAATGGTCTCATCAGATGATGATCCCTGTCAAGTGGGTCATTGTAATCCTGACACCGGTGTGATCACATTCAAGCCAGTAGTGTGCAATGGTTGTCAGACATGTAGCCGGGCTTCTGGAGCTACCCAAGGTCAATGCGTGGATACCGATTCATTGTGTACCAGTCCCAATCAATGCAATGTTGGTTCATGTCAGAGTGGCGAATGCAAGACCACCTTAAAGTCATGCGATGATGGTGATCCATGCACAGTCGATTCATGTAACATCTTGACAGGATGTGACAACTCGCAGCCAGTAGTATGTGCCGACCAAGACCTCTGCCACATTGGTCAATGCACACCAGGTGTTGGATGTACTTCAGTCGACAGGACATGCCCCACCGAGAGCTTCTGTATCGACTCGATCTGTGATCTACGTTCAGGCTGCGTTACATTCGCTCGACAATGCACGCCACCAGACTCCAAGTGTCAGAGTGGCACTTGCAACAACTCGACGAGGATGTGTGAGTTCCGTGACATCTCTCCAGTGCCATTCGGTTGCAACAAAGCAGCTGTCATATCAACTGGTGTTGCCGCTGGTGTCATTGTAGCCGGTGCCATTGTGATTGGTATCCTAGTGTTTGGTGCCAAGAAGGGCTATGACTTTTGGAGGGTATCCAGCACGAATGACAAGATTACCTCACTCAATTCCAATCCACTCTATGATGAGCATCCATCAGCTAATGGCGCCAATCCACTCTATGTTGAACAAATAGATAATACAGATATTTGAATGAATGTTGTTGAAAGTGAAGGAATCTTCAAATTGTTTCGTTCTTTCATCCATTGAGATTGTGGTTCTCAATGATGTGTGTGGATAACACCCACCTGAGGTAACAAGAATTTCGGGGGGTAATTTCTTTATGGGTCAAATTCATAGGACAATGACTGATAGATAGACATAAACGGGTAATAATTGTTGTTGTTTATTACAAACCAAAGAAGTTCTTGATGTTGCGCATGATGTTGGGTCTATCTGTCACCATTTGGCTTGATGATGACTGGGTTGTAGACTCAGTGTGAGTGATTGTGTTGGTTCCATGGCTGTTTTGGATATTCATGGTATTGTTGTTGACCTGGAGGTTGTTCTGGATCATTGTGATGGCCGGCTGTGAACCAGCGCCTGTGGCCTTGATTGTTACATCGTATTGCACATTTACAAGTCCACTGGCGATATGTTAGAGTTATTTGAATTAAGAATGAATGAATGTGTAAACATACCTTGTTTCCTTGGATGTGATCAGGTTGCCAGTGGACTTCTTGTCGCGCAGCACTACTGTCCTTTGCTTCTTGGTCAATTTCTCTGGATCAATGATGGCCAGGTCCTTGGATTGCTGGGCAACGAGAGCATTAAAGGACCAATAAAAATAATTAAAAAAAAATAAAAAATCAAAAAGAAAAAAAAGGACCATTCGATCAGACA